AGGAAGTAGCGCTCGTGACCCTGCCCACGGACGCGGGCCGGGCCCCACACGTCCATGTGAAGCGTCTGCAGAGGAGCCTCTGTCGGGGGAAACTGGGAGGAGTGAGGGGCAGCCCGGAGCCGCCCCTCGACACAGGGGACACAGGAAGGTCCGGGTCCCGAAGGAAGGGGAGGGAGAGACCGGGGAAGACCAGAGACAAGGACACGGGAAGCCATGCCCCGAAGACGAGGCAAGGAGGGGTGGCCAAGACGGTGGTGCCACAGGAGAGTCTCCTGAGACAGGCGGCGACACGAGCAGGGGGCAGACTCAGGACCAGACCTGGACGCAGCAGCAAACACCTGACCCGACGCAGCTACCTGGCCAGACGCATGGACAGGAGGAGACTCAGTGGTCAGGGTGTAGAGACTCGACCCCGGCCGACGCGAAAACGTGGCCAGGTGTCGGCCTGTGCGGGCGTCCGAGCAGTGGGTCACCCGCTGACTCGCAGGAGTAAACTGGTGAACCCCCGCATCCTGCAGGTCAGCACCACTCACCAAGTTCGTCGAGAACGAGGGGAGGTACAGACCAGACAAGGTGCCCGAGGGGGCAGCCGGACACGGGAGGACAGTGGAGAAGTGAGAGAGGACAGGACCCCCAGAGGGGTCAGCCAGGGAGACTGCAACCGGCCGGCCAAGCGGCGTGAGTGTGGTGCGGTCTCGAAAGAAGGAGCGAGAAGCCCCTGAGTCAAGCGTGAAGGTGAGGGAGGCCGAAGCCGACGCAGTACCTGAGAGCGCAGCCTCACCAGTACCTGAGAGTGCAGACGCACTGGCACCTAGAGCAGCAGCCGCAGAAGTACCTAGCGCAGCAGTACCAATGCCCGGGTCGGGCGGGAAACACCGGTAACAGTCACCCTCCTCACTAATAGTCACAGCATACATGGCAGCAAGGATAGCATCAAAGTCAAGATCAAAGATAGCTACGCCAGCCCTAGACAGCTCTCCCCAACGGGGAATCTCACTAGCCTCGGGGAACTGTTGACGCCAAGCGTCCGTCAGGCGGCCAAAGCAGCGCTGGGTGGGGTGGGCACCCCCACACTGCTCACCCGCGCGGTCGCCGGAACGAAGGACGTAGGTGCACGGACCAAAACCCCCACCCCGCTGACGCTGCGTGTACCACTCACGGAGCTGCTGGGGCGGGGGGATGTCCCGCGAACGCTGCTGCTGCTGCTGACGCTGGCCACCACCAGAGCCGCTACGCTGCGGGGCACCACCCCGACCAGCTCCACCCCCTCCGCCACCGCCGCCTCCACCTCCACCACCACCGCTGCCTCCGCTCCCACCGCTGCCGCCACCACCGCCTCCTCCTCCGCTGCTGCCACCGCCACCACCGCCCCCGCCACCACTCCCACCGCCACTCCCACTCCCTCCGCCGCCTCCACCGCCACCTCCACCGCCCCCTCCAGTTCCACCCGCGCCCTTGCCCCCCTTGCCCCTGCCAGGGCGGCGTCTCCCGCTAGGGGCAGACGCCGCGCAGACCGACTCAAGACCAAGCAGGTCGGCAGCAGCAGCAGCAGAGGCAACAGAGGGCAGCAGGGGGGAAGGAGAACACCCCTCAAAGATGGGGGTGCGAGGGTCACCACGAGAGGCTCCTACAGCGACGATGCTCTTCTCCGCCGCCAGGAGGGACTTCTCGAGGAGATCGACAGTGAGAGTGGTGGGACAGACTGAGAGGAAGTGGTCCCTGACTACGTGAAGGGAGTCAGGGAGGCGTGTGACTATGTAATAGAGAGTGATGTACATGGGGGGGGGGTTCTTGGCGCAGAACTCAGCAGGAAGGGCGGCGCGGTAGCGAGTGTCACTAGTGCGGAGGTGCGTAATGAGGTCAGCGACAGTGGGAAAGGCAGCAAGGTCAGGAAAGAGGTACGGTAGCATGAGGCGGCTCAGGGCAGCAGTGGCAGGGGAAGAGTAGCGCGCAACTACAGCGTCGTACAAGGTCTGAGCACTCTTGTACTGACTAAAGTGCGCGCGCTCAGTGGTAGGCAGGTGGCGACGCACAGCAAGACGTGCAGCAGCATCGCGGGTGGCCCACTGAGAGCGAACAGTGGGGTCAGCATCAGCAGCAGGGGCAGGAGAGGCGCCAGAGGTGAGGTCAAAGAGGGAAAGACCGTCCGTCCTATCGCACTGTAAGAACAGCTGCAGGTCGTCGACCCAGACCTCAAAGTCAATGGCTCGACCCTCAGCGTCAAAAGCGAGGACACTAGGGGTAGCCATGACGACGACAGTGTAGCAGTGCAAGCAGTAGGGGAGGGGCACGCAGTAACAGTGGTGCTGTGCTCACCAGGCAGGGCAGGTCGGGCGGCTCGGCAGTAGGGCGGCCCGGCGGCTGGGCGGCTCGGCGGCTCGGCTGCTGGGCGGCTCGGCTCCCGGGCGGCTCGGCGGCAGGGCGGCTCGGCGGCAGGGCGGCTCGGCGGCTCGGCTCCCGGGCGACTCGGCGGCAGGGCGGCTCGGCAGCAGGGCGGCTCGGCTCCCGGGCGGCTCGGCTGCTGGGCGGCTCGGCGGCAGGGCGGCTCGGCGGTCGTAGGCGGCGGGGCCGGTGAGGATAGGCGGCGGGGCCGGTGAGGATAGGCGGCTGGGCCGCGAAGTGGGGCGGCGGGGCCGCGTAGGTGAGGGCGGCGAGGCCGCGAAGGCAAGGGCGGCGAGGCCGCGTAGGTGAGGGCGGCGGGGCCGCGAAGTGAGGGCGGCGGGGCCGCGTAGGCAAGGGCGGCGAGGCCGCGACGTGAGGGCGGCGAGGCCGCGAAGGCAAGGGCGGCGAGGCCGCGAAGGCAAGGGCGGCGAGGCCGCGTAGGTGAGGGCGGCTGGGCCGCGAAGGTGAGGGCGGCGGGGCCGCGTAGGTGAGGGCGGCGGGGCCGCGAAGTGAGGGCGGCGGGGCCGCAACGTGAGGGCGGCGGGGCCGCGCAGGTGAGGGCGGCGGGGCCGCGTAGGCAAGGGCGGCGAGGCCGCGACGTGAGGGCGGCGGGGCCGCGACGTGAGGGCGGTGGGGCCGCGTAGGTGAGGGCGGCGCAACGGGCCGCTAGGGGCGACACGGAGGGTCGCTAAAAAAAAGAAAGCGCGCCTCGGGGCGCGCTTCGGTGGGCCCTAGAAACAGTCCCTAGGAGGGGACCTGCTCTGATACCATGAGAAAAGGAGAAAGCGAATGAATGAACTATGAATGAAGTGAGTACATATAGGAAACCCTAATTGGGTTGTACCCCCTATGGGATACCCCACTATAGCCTACACAACAGCATAAGCTATATATATGTTCTGACACGCAGCAGCGACACGGCGTAGCGAATCTTCGCCGTATCCTCCGAGACGTAGTTGGCGTAAAAAAATACGTTCAACGTGAACAACCACGCCTGAACGGAAGGACCACCCCGTTGACTCGGGTCAAAGCATGGCGGACGCTGCGGCTTCAGCGGCATCGGTGACGGTAGTGCCGAATCATTGGTCGGTGCCGAAATCGTGACGCGAGGCTGGCTCCTGGCCGCATTCGTCGCTTCGGGGTGTGTCGTGCCGTGGTCGTCGTCTCCGTCGTGGCGGACGATGCCATCACTGGCCGCGCTCGCGGGTTGCCCCACACTTCCGTGCTGCGATGCCTGTGGTGCAGGTTGTCCCGGAGTGCCATGTGCTTGTGATTGTGCTTGGTGTGCTCGTGCGACGTCATTTTGCATGGACGTGCGTTCGACCGTCAGTGCTGCGATTTCTTCAGAACTTTCGTGGAGTTGTCGCAGCAACTCGTTCAAACGGTCCTGCGTGAGCGTCGTGACGTCGATATGTTCAGCCATAACGAAGGGCGTCGGCTCAGTTTAGTCTAGGCGCAGTCGTGGCTGCACGCGTTTACGAGAGAACGCGAGGACAGCGGCTCCTAGGTGCTAAGGGGCGTGAGTCCCTTCGAGTGAAAAATCAAAAGTTTATTTTCTGGGGTGCGGAGATGCACGGTCCGAAAGAAAGTGGCTCTGTTAACCAAGTGTTGCGGGTGCAATGAATCGAGGTAGCGAGGATGAGCGAGTACAAAATATGAGCAAAGGCATGAGCGAATACTTATACGCGAAAATGTGCAAACGGTAACGCGGTGCGTGCGAGCTAGCTAGTGCCAGGGCGTGTGCTAGGATTTTGGGCATCCTGAGCCCTCAGGGCAATTTTTGAAAAATCTCAAGAATGCCCTGATTTTTCAGGGCAAAATTGTATGGCCATCCTGAAATTTCAGGGCACCATCAGGAGTTCATCCTGATCTCTCAGGGCAAAAAAATCACAAGACATGAGAGAGGTGGAGGGGAAGGCACGATATGAGTGGGATGGGAAGCCCGGCGCGTGCATAGTACGGTACGACGAGGAAGCGGCAAAATCCTCGGGAGGAGGCAAAACCAATACACACACCCCCCCCCCCCCCCCGCCCCTTCCCCCCTCTTCCCCATCCCCCCCACACCCCTTCCCCTTCTGCATATGCGTCAGGGCAGTCCTCGACCTTCGTCCTGATGCTTCAGGGCAAAATCTCACAGACTTCCTGAATTTTCAGGGCTCAACACGAAAATTATCCTGAAGTCACAGGGTAAAATATACCATCATCCTGAAATTGCCGGGAAAACTCCTGACACTATCCTGAAATCAGGGTAATCATGATGTTTTACCCTGATATCGTGGGGCCTGGCTAGTGCTACGCTGGCGCGAGGTTCGGGCTAGTCCCAAAGCGTAGGCAGACTCGGCTGCTCCAGTAGTGCGAGGTTTGGTGAAACAGTGCGCGCGAAGTTGGCGAAGCCCCGTTAGTAGTAATGGGCGAACAACGGCTGCTGCTGTACGCGATGTGGACGGTCGCGGTAAGGAATAGCGAGAAAATTCCTTACAATTGTGCAAATCTTACGCTTTCAGTGTCTGTTTAGGGCTTCAAGTTGCAAATGCAAACTTCACAACGGCCAAAGCAAACAAATATAATATCATGGGTAAGAGAAGCCATTATCCTTTTCGAGGCCCCCAAACGATTTTTCACACAGTAGCCGGCCGTTGCGGCAGCAGCAGGTTGTAAAACGCATCGCGGACGAAAAAATCCGCCCCGCCGTCCGTCTTGGCCTTTCGCCAAGCAACCCAACCGCCGCTCCTTATCGCCTTCAAATCCTCCCCTCCCGTATAATGCGGATCGAGAATCAGAAACGCGCACTCCCCCGTCGCCTCGTCATAGTCTACACCTAATAGAGTGTACGCTAGAACCCCACCTCCTATCATCACCGGGGTGCCTTGGGTGGAAAAATGGTGGGCTAGTTGTCGACCCTTAGAAGGCATGTCTGCTCCGGATGAGACTGTGAGGACTTTACATGTGACCTGGGAGGGAGGGGGGCGGGTGGGAGCAGGTGGGTTGAGAGGGGAGCTCAAGAGAGGGTTCGTTCAGGGGTGGAGTGGTGGGCTAGTTGCCGGCCCTTAGAGGGCATGTCGGCTCCAGATGAGATTGTGAGGACTTTACATGTGACCTGGTGGGGGGGGGAGGGGAAGATAAGGGAGAGGGGGGGGAGCGAGGGGACGATAAGGGAGAGGGGGGGGGGGGGGGGGGGAGGGGAGGGGAGGAGGAGGTGGGAGCAGGTGGGTTGAGTGGGGAAGTGGTGGCTAGCTGCCGGCCCTTATAAGGCATGTCTGCTCTGGGTGAGACTGTGAGGACGTTGCATGTGAGCTGAGGGAATGGGAACATGTGAGCTGAGGGAATGGGAACATGTGAGCTGAGGGAATGGGAACATGTGAGCTGAGGGAATGGGAACATGTGAGGTAAGAAGGGGGCACGCAGAGGCATGAGTTGAGTGGTGAAATGGTGGCTAGTTGTCAGACCTTGAAGAGCTTGTCTGCTCTGGAAGAGACTCTTCCAGAGGACTTTACAGGGGATCTGGGAGTATGGGTGCATGAGGGGTAAGAGGGGCGTGTCATGTCAAATGGTGAGTTGTATGTCGGCCCTTGGAAGGCATGTCTGCTGCGGATGAGACTGTGAGGACGTTGCATGTGACATAAGGGGGTATGGGTACGTGCGGGGCAAGAGGGGAGGGGAACACGATTAGGGGTGCCTTGCGTGGAAAATTGGTGGGCTAACTGTCGGCCCTAAGAGGGCATGTCTGCTCCGGACGAGACTGTGAGGACTTGACATGTGACCTGGCAAAATGGGTGCAGGCGGGCTAAGAGTGACGCAGGAGAAGAGGTGCGTTGAGTGGTGTATAGTGCACTCAACCTTCCAGATCATATTGTATTACATAACGCCCTCTCCTCTTCTCCCCTCCCCTCCCCTCCCCTCCCCTCCCCTCCCCTCCCCTCCCCTCCTCTCCTCCCCTCTCCATCGCACAACGAGCTATCTCAATGTGCGGTAGAGAGGAGAGTGGAGGAGAGGAGGAGGATAGAGACGAGAGGGGGTAGGACGGTCTTGAATGGGGGTGTGGTAGTGAGTTGGTGCCATTGAGATCAACTTCATCCTGGGGGTGTGGTCCAGGATGAAGCTCAGCTCAATCGCGCCGATCCACTGGCGTGCTCTCACCCCACTGACCCACTTTCTCTCCTCCCCTTGCCTATTAGACTACTCCCTCTCCCCCTCAAGCTCACCCCCAGCAGGTGTTCCAGGATGAAGCTCAGCTCGATGGCGCCGAATCGCCGATCCACTGGCTCAACCCCACCAGGGATTGATTACGCCGATCCACTGCTGTGCTCTCACACCCACTTCCCACCCGTATCCCACACACCTGCTCCTCCCCTCTCCCTTTCAAGCTCACCCCCAGCAGGTGGTCCAGGATGAAGCTGAGCTCGATGGCGCCGATCCACTGGCTGGACCCCACAAACGCCGCCTCTTTGTCCCCTATCTCCACTAGCGCCTGCTGAATGCGCCTGGGGGCATGGGTGGGGGGCGTGCATGGGTCGGAGGGTGTGGGACAGGATATGCTAAGGGCATGCAACGTGGCTCGTTGCCTTGTCCCCCACCTCCACCAGCGCCTCATGAATACGCCTGGGAGAGATTGAAAAAGAGGGAAGGTGGTGATGGGGAAGGGGGGAAGAGAGGGGAGCTGCTGTGTGGTGGCAAGGTTGTGTGATCCAAGCGAGTAGATCGAGAAAGCCATGGAGGAGGAGGGAGAAACGCAAGCCACGTAGTGTCCTGGAGCGCCTAGAATATACATCTTTTGAGGCGCCTCAGAACACGTCCCAAGGGAGGAGAGGCGCCTCAGAACACGTCCCAAGGGAGGAGAAAGGAGGGAGAAACCGTGTAGTCGATTTTTGAGTGGACTCAAAAACCAAGGGAGGAGATCGAGAAAGCCATGGAGGACGAGGGAGAAACGCAAGCCACGTAGTGTCCCGATGAGCCTAAAAAATGCATGTTTTGAGGCGCCTCAGAACACGTCCCAAGGGAAGAGATCGAGAAAGTCATCCAGGAGGAGGGAGAAACGCAAGCCAGCCATGCAGTGTTTCACAAGGTCAGAGAGTTCGCAATAAGTGCCTCAAAAATCGAATTGAAGAGTTGACGGATGGGAGGTGAGACGGAACAAGTGGACGATACAAGCTGAAATCTAGAGAGAAAAAAGTTCCAACTTCTCGGTTTGGCACGGTGCCTTTGGGATGGAACGGCTAACGAGGTGTATTGTTGAATGCGGAACCATGACACGATGGTTTTCAGAGAGCGATAGGCGCAGCGTGAGGTGAGGTGTATTGATGATGCATGCGCTTTGAGTTGGTTAAGAACACAATGTACCTGTGAGTTGGCACGGGTAGTGAGGTGTACCTGTGGGTTGGCACAGGTATAGAGGTGTACTGCTGAATGCGGAACCATGACACGATGGTCTGCAGCGAGCGATAGGCACAGCCCCACCCCTGTAAGGCAGCAAGGGGAAAGCAGAGGTGAAGCAGAGGAGAAGGGGAAGGTGAAGGTTGAAGTGAAGGGGGAGGGAAGGTGAGAAGACAGAGCTGTAGTACCGAACTTTGAACGGGAAAAGGGAAGAGGGGTGAGGACACGAGACAATCGGTGAAGGTTAGGGGACAAGGAGGAGAGGTGGAGGGAAGGAGGGGTGGCCAAAAGCTGGAAAGGTTGAGAAAGAAAGGAGTGAAGGGTAAAGGCAAGAGATGAAAAGGAGCAGAGCGAAGGGAAGGGTAAGAGAAGCAACCTCATACAGTTGGGGATTCAGTCATTTGAGTCGACTCAAAAGTCACACGAGGAAGATGAGAAGAGAGCAGTGAGGGATGATCAAGTACAACTCACACTGTCGTTGACCCTTGAGTCGACTCAAAACGAGGTGACTTTTGAGTCGACTCAAAAGTCACTTTTGAGTCGACTCACAAGTACAACTCACACTGTCGTTGACCCTGTCTTGCATGTAATGGTCATACTCGTATGAGCCCTGCACCAGGTACTGCCTAGCCTAGGTGCCTCATGAGTGAACCCAACAGTCATCTCGCTTATATGTCCTACAACTCACACTGTCGTTGACCCTGTCTTGCATGTAATGGTAATACTCGTAGGAGCCCTGCACCAGGTATTGCTTAGACCCTGCGTGAAGAGGGAGAGGGAGGGGAGGTGGAGATGGTGGGAGAAGGGGGGATAAGGAGAGATGAGCACTCGAGTTTAAAACAAGCGTGCTGAGCTGAAGACATGCATACAGGAATAAATTTTGCAATAACTCTCCCTAGGCATCATACGAAAATACGCACACATACACATGTAAATTTACATACATGATACAGAGACACTCAATACTGAGGGTGGATCTTATACCTGCAGAATGCGGCAGACGGGGAAGGCTCACGTGCACATCCCAGAGGCGCAGACCTGTCAGAGGCAGAGAGGTGGGAATGGCAAGGGAGCGTGGAGAGGGGTGGAGAGGGGTGGAGAGGGGTGGGAGGAGTGAGTTGGGGGCAATGTGAGGTCATTCCACCTGCAGAATGCAGCAGACGGGGAAGGCCCACGTGCACATCCCAGAGGCGCAACCCTGACAGAGGAAGGGAGGGGTTCGGGAGGGGGGATGCGGCATGGGACATCAGCATAAGCTTCAGAGGCTTTTCAGATCAGAGGTGACATAACAAGGCTTGAGACGTCTCAAAACTTTTCAGAGGTGACATAACAAGGCAGAACAAGAAACGGCCGGGCACCCACCTTTTGAGGATGCGTGGGTGGCGTGCGGTGCTGCAGCGTGGGTTAGCGAGGGAGAGAGACGAGATGACATGAGCAGGCACGGCATGGCAAAACAAGAAACGGACGGGTACCCACCTTTTGAGGATGCTTGGGTGGCGTCCGGTGCCGCAGGGGGGGTAGCGAGGGAGAGAGACGAGGCAATGCGCAGCATGGGGCGGTCGAGGGGCAGGCCCAGGCGGTGGTGCAGTGTCAAGCGCATGTCCACTGCGGTGAGGGTTTATGGGAGGGATGAGGGTGGGGAGGGGGTATAAACAGTAGGGAAGAGGCATTGAGCAGCATAGGCAGGCCCAGACGGTGCTGCAGGGTGATGTGCATGTCCACTGCGGTTGGGGGGGGTTCAGAGGGTTGTCGGGGGAGAGAAAAAGATGGGAAGGGGTTAGGAGGGGAGGTGATAAATTATAGTGAAGAGGCAGTGCGCAGCATGGGGCCTGCCCTTGGACCGCCATGCGCATAGCATATCCATAGCAGTGGTGCTGGGCCATGCGCATAGCATATCCATAGCAGTGGTGCTGGGCCATGCGCATAGCATATCCATAGCAGTGGTGCTGGGCCATGCGCATAGCATATCCACTGGCGGGAAGGTTGAGGTTGAGAAGAACTGTCTTGGGAAAGGAAAAAGATGGGGAGGAGGGAAACGGTAAGGAGGGGAGGAGAGGCAATCCACACAGCATGGGATGGGACAGCCCCAAGGGAAGGGAAGGCCCTGGTGCTGATTTTGTTTGTGGTTCACTTTGAGAATTCTCAAAATCAACCTCAAACAAAATGGGACAGCCCCAAGGGAAGGGAAGGCCCTGGTGCTGCAGGGAATGCGCATGTCCACTGACATTAAGGGGAAGGTTAAGAGGGTTGCTGGGGGAAAGAACAAACAAGGTGGGAAGGGGTACAGAGGCGAGGGGATCGACTATGGTGATGTGGGGCAGTCTGGAGGGGGGCTAAGCTGTGGTGCAGGGTCAAGCGCATGCCAACGATGCTGCAGGGTGTTTTCAAGAACACCCTGACTTTTGAGACGTCTCAAAAGAACACCCTTCAGCAGTGAATCCTCAAGAACACCCTTCTGTGGTGCAGGGTCAAGAGCATGCCAACTGGAGGAAAAGTGCTTGGGGAAGGATACAAGTGGTGAGGACGATAAAGGTAAGGCGGGGAGGGGATAGACAGTAGTGACAAGGCGGTATGAAGCATGAGACGACCCAGGGGCAGGTCCAATTTTTGAGATCTTATGCAATCTCAAAAATCTACTTTCTACAGGGGCAGGTCCAAGAGGTGGTTGCATGCAGGCAGGTTTTGAGGCGCCTCAAAAGTCGTCTAAGTTCACGCGGTTTTTATATGCGGTATGAAGCATGAGACGACCTACTTGGTCCAAGAGGGGCAGGTCCAAGAGGTGGTGCAGGCAGGTCAAGCGCATGTCCACTCGAGGGTACGGGGTGGGGTGGTGGAACGAGGGGGATAATGTAAGAAAAAGACAGATAATAGTGATCCCTCACTCACACACGCCCTGCTGCCCCTCACTCACGCAGGCTCTGCTGCCCCTCCCCATACGTGAGAGGGTAGATGACAGTGAAAGGGTGTGGGCAGGCCGGCAGCAAGAAGTGGTGTGCTCCAAACTGAACCATGTGGGGGAGGGGAGAGAGGGGGCGGGAAGGGAGGGAGAGGGATAGGAGGAAGGATGGATGACAGGAACAATGCAGGGAGAGGGTGTGGGAAAGATGACAGCAGGAAGTGGTGTGCTCCAAACTGAACCATGTGGGGGAGGGGAGAGAGGGGGCGGGAAGGGAGGGAGAGGGATAGGAGGAAGGATGGATGACAGGAACAACGGAGAGAGAGGGTGTGGGAAAGATGACAGCAGGAAGTGGTGTGCTCCAAACTGAACCATGTGGGGGAGGGGAGAGAGGGGGGGGGGGGAGGGGAGAGAGGGGTTGGGAAGGGAGGAACGCAGGAGAGGGGGAGAAGAGGGAGGGGAAGGCGGAATGGGGGTGTGAGAATGAGAAGTGCATCTGTGAGCAAACGGAGGAGGAAGAGAAGAAGAATGAGAAGAGAAATGGAATGCGGGAGTGGGGCGACCTTGGTTCCTGGCTGAAAGGAAACTGCTTTGGTTTTGAAAGAAAGGATTTGGTGCAAGAAACGAAGGGAGGGGACACGGGGAGGGAAGGGGTGGGAGTGCTGGGGAGAGGAGGAGAGGTGGGAGGCATGAGGGATGGTTGAGTTGGGGGAATGAGCTGCTCACTCTCAGTCCTAGCTGGAAAGGGAAAGAAACGGCTGAAGCTGCTTCCTTTGCTGCTTCCCCTGTTACTTCTCTCCCATCCGCACTTATTGCTCCTGCCCCCTTCTCCCTCTTCCCCTCCTCCTTGCCTCCCTTCCCCCCTTCACCCTCCTGTCTTTCTTCTCTCTCACTGCCCACCATCCACTCTATCGCCTTGACTTGCCGCAGCAGCCCCGGCACTACGAGACGACGCACTGCCGCCCGGAGAGACAGCTGCTGAGGGGCGAAGACTAGGCTGCTTAGGGACAGGCTTATCTGGTGCAGGTGGATGCTGGGGGCGGCTGGAGAAGGGGAAAAGAGTGGGGAAGGAGAAAAGGGAGGGTGAGAATATTTTTTTTATTCATCTCAAAGCTCAAGGACAGGCTTATCTGGTGGCGGTGGATGCTGGGGTGGGGGCGCCTGGGGAGGGGTGCACGGGGTAAGTCTAAACAGGAGTACGATTTAATATGTCTCAACAGCTCATGTACAGGCTTATCTGGTACAGATGGATACTGGGGTCAGCGCTCATTTTGAGGCGCCTCAAAATACACCTCACTGCAGGTGGATACTGGGGTCAGCTGGGGAGGAGATTGGGAAAGTGTGCGGTCCTCACCTGGGGTGTAGCTGAGGCCAACAGGTGCACCATTCTGCCCCGCGGATGCTGACGTGGCGGGTGGCGATTGGTTGAGCAGCAAAGAGACACGTGTGGTTGATGCAAGCTGTGAGAAATCAGCGAGTTCGGAGCACGTGAGGGGGAAGAGGAGGAAGGGAGGGTGGCATGGTGGCAGGGCAAGAGAGAAGGGTGTAAGCCCAAAACAAACCAGCATCAGAAGCATACTCCTCGCGTGGGTTAACTCTTGAGTCAACTCAAAAGTCAACAGAGCCAGCATCAGCACCAACTGCAGCAGCAACGCCAGCAACAATATCAGAACCAGAAGCACCATCAACACCACCATCAACAGCACCATCAACACCAGCACAACACCAGCAGCACCATCAACACCACCATCAACACCACCACCAACACCACCATCAACACCACCATCAACACCACCATCAACACCAGCACAACACCAGCAGCACCATCAACAGCACCATCAACAGCACCATCAACAGCACCATCAACAGCACCATCAACAGCACCATCAACAGCACCATCAACACCACCATCAACAGCACCATCAACACCACCATCAACACCACCATCAACACCACCATCAACACCACCATCAACAGCACCATCAACAGCACCATCAACAGCACCATCAACACCAGCACAACACCAGCAGCACCATCAACAGCACCATCAACAGCACCATCAACACCACCATCAACACCACCATCAACAGCACCATCAACATCACCATCAACACCACCATCAACACCACCATCAACACCACCATCAACAGCACCATCAACAGCACCATCAACACCACCATCAACATCACCATCAACACCACCATCAACAGCACCATCAACATCACCATCAACACCACCATCAACAGCACCATCAACAGCACCATCAACACCAGCACAACACCAGCAGCAACATACTCTTTTCGAAGCTACCGTTTCTCCTCTTCCTCCCCCTCCTCCCCCACCACCAGCGACCCCTTTTCCCCCTTTCCCTCTCGCACCTCCCCCTTTTCCTCCCCCCTCTCCTCCTCCTCCCTTTCCCCCTCCACCTTCTGCGGACGTCAGCAGATCACCACACACCATCTCCTCTGAGGTCCCCCCACCATTCCTGCCACGTGTCATGCTGCCATTGGCTGCTGGGGCTCTTCCGTTTGGCAGAGAGCCAATCAGGATCGGCCGCACGGCTCCTGCAGCAGCGCTGGCAGCTGACGCTGAGCTGGCAGCTGCTGACGTGGCAGCGGAAGGCGGTTGTGGTGGGTGCAGCAACCAGAGGGCGTGAGGGCTGATGACGTCAGCTTGAATGGCTGAGAGAGATGCGGATATTGATGATGATAGGGCTGGCGAGTAGTTTATATGGAGGGGATGGGGGGGAGAGAAAGGAAAGGGAGGGAGGAGGAGGGGGGTTGGGGAGAAGTTTGAGTCAACTCAAAAATCACCTGAAAGAGATGCAGATATTAACGATTATAGGGCTGGCGAGTAGTGCATATAGAGGGGATGGGGAGAGAGAAAGACGATGGGGGGGAAGGAGGGGACGGTGGGAGGAAGGGAGGTGGGCAGGGGAAAAGGTGAAACCGGGAGAGGGGGAAGGGGAGAAAGGGGGAAGAATGGGGGGAATTGGAATGAATTGGAGTGTGCAGCTAGGTGGAGTGAGTGACGAAGCGGCACGGAGGGCATGGCATAGGGAAGGGGGATGAGGGACGGAGGAGAGGCGGGAGTGGAGGAGAGTAGAAACAGTGGGTTGAAAGAATGAGACCGAGAAAACGTGTGGGAAAACCGAGGGAGGAAGGAATGGTGAAAGAATGTGTCCGCTGAGTAATGGGATGAAGAGCAGCAGGGCGAAGCTCACTCACTCTGCTTGTCGTGGGTGAACAGTGGCAAGGTGGCTGCCACGTCACACACCAGCGGGCAATGCGCCGCCCAAAACTCTTCCTCCAGCCTATTATTCTCCCCACCAGTAGCACCACCAGCACCACCAGCAGCACTAGCAGCACCATCTCCCTTACCCCCTTGACCCGCCACCACCTCTACCTCCACTTCAGCACTCTCATCCTCCTCCTCCGCTTTAATCTCCCATGCCACGTCAGCCTCATTCTCTCCTGTTTGCTTGTCGTCTCTCCTTCCCTCCTCGCCGCCGTCCTCTTCGTCTCCCTCACTCTGTTCCCGTTCCTCATCTTTCCACGTATTTTCTGTAATATCCTGACCCCACCAATCAGCAACTGCCACGCCACCTCTTCTCAACTCAATTCCCGCCAACATGGATATCCTCGGAGGGATTTCACCCGACGCGAAAGCGTCATTCGTCCACGTCACAATGAACGACCGGCGCGCCAATGCCACGTCGTGAAAGATTCGCCGAAATTCGGCGATCGACTCCCTTATAAGTGCCTGATTTTCCAGGGTAAACTCCCCTCTCACCGCAACTCCGACGACTGTAAGTCCTCCAGGAAGCAGCGGCAAAAGAGCTCGCGCCTCGGACTTGGCGACGCCGCCTTTGTCGCCACGCTGCTGGACTGCGACGTCCCTGAATTGCGGGTCTACGAGGATGCAAGAGAGAACGGAGCAGGAGGGGCGTGGGTCGCGACATGGGAAGTAAGACGCGGAGGAGCCAACTAACCAGCCGAGAATCACGGGTGCGGACGAATCGCTCGGCGAATCAGAGACGGAACGAGGTTGCCTTGAAATGGCGGATCGGAGCGACGTGATCACCTGCTCGTGCAGGCGAACTACAGCAGACATGGCGGCAGCACTTGTGCTGTGCTTGTTTGCAGGTGGATTATTCGTGAGTTGAGAATGTTGCATATTTTGGGTGTCAAAGTTGTTCGATGCGGCTTGATGAGACGCTTTGCGTGGCAGAACGGTTCGTCTACATTCTAAGCGGTATTCTGACTCCGCTCCAGCCAAGACTCATCCCTGATCAACTGCACGATGGATACCGTAATGGTAACCGAATTTGTACGACGGTTACACGGCTATAAATGGCGAAGACGAATACGTCTGCGACCGCAAGTGCGAAAAGGGGTGCAATCTTGGTTCACACAATCCGCACACCTGCAAGTTTTCATATGACAATCTAGGCGGCTCGAATGACAAGATCAAGGTGGGCAAAAGTGCTGATGTGCCAGCCGGGAATCGAACCTGGGTCTGCACCGAGCTGACTTGGCAAGGTGCTATTCTACCTCTTCATTGACACTATAGTAAATGTACAATGGATACAAGACAAATTCAAGCATCTAGTGTATGGAAAGACATGCAGGCTAATCCTATTGTGAGGCCTACAAATAGGCCTCTGAGATGTCTCAGTGGTCCTCTCCAAAGTAGGCAAAGTCAGCTGCAGAAAGAGAAGTCACCTCGGGTGGTGCGTGGTTGACGCCCTCGGTAAAACGAATTTGTGCACGACGACAAACAGTGCGAGACTGCTCACGTTGATGGACCAGAGAAATCCGTTTGTAGAAGTTGGTCTCAAACAGCAGGGGAAGGAAATCTGTAGCACCACTCAAGTCACGGAGTTGTGAAGCCCCTTTGCGGCTGCATTGGCGTAGGAAATTGTTGAACGATGAGCCAAAGCAACCGAAGGTTTCAATGACAAGGGGAAACAGTTTGACGTCTGGACGGTCACGAAGTGCTGCAGCATAGTGGGTGGTCTTCTCACTTTCACGAGTGGCTGCTGCTGAACCAATCACCGTAGCTGCGTTGGAGTGTGGAAACCCCTTTTGTGGATCAGCAATAGAAACATCCAAGGCCCAGGTGGTACCAGAGCTAATGTCGCGGCACGTGATGTCTGTGCGGCGGCCAGGCAGGAGATGCTGGTCTTCCATCTGCGCAGAGAACCCAAGCTCCAAGGCAATGCGATGAACTTCTCGTTTGATTGCGTCGTGCACCTTAGTAGGCTCGTTGTTGCTAGGGCAGCGAAGGACATGAGAATGGATGGAAGGATCGGTGAACGGGGAGTTGCAGGTGCAGGTGAGTGAAGATGAAAGGTGAGGAAGAGGAAGGCCTAAGCGGATAGCTGCTGCAATGCGCCACTCGGTCTCTGAAAGCTGCATGTGCGGGGAGGATGGAGCCACAGTGAGCCAGTCACCTGCATGCGGGCCCTGCAAAGAGGTTAGACGAGCAAGTGTCAGAACATTGTAGCTTATGCTGTTGTGTAGGCTATAGTGGGGTATCCCATAGGGGGTACAACCAATTAGGGTTTCATATTTGTACTCACTTCATTTCATAGTTCATCCATTCTTGATCAAATGTTCTCATGGTATCGAGCAGGTTCCCCCTTGGGAACTGTGCTTAGGGCCCACCACATCGATTTTTTTTTCCTGCCCGAAGCGCGCTCAGCCCGAGTCGCGCTCCGGGCCCTCACTTCGTCGAGCTGCCCTAGCGGCCCTTCACTGCGGCCCCGCCACCCGTCTCAGCGGCCCCGCCGCCCGTCTTCGCGGCCCCGCCGCCTCTCTCCTAGCGGCCCCGTCGCCCTACCTAGCGGCCCCGCCGCCCTACCTCGCGGCCTCGCTGCCCTATCGCACGACCCCGCCGCCCTACCTAGCGGCCCCGCCGCCCCATCGCGGCCCCGCCGCCCCATCGCGCGGCCCCGCCGCCCTACCTAGCGGCCCCGCCGCCCTTCCTCGCGGCCCCGCCGCCCCATCGCGCGGCCCCGCCGCCCTACCTAGCGGCCCCGCCGCCCTTCCTCGCGGCCCCGCCGCCCCATCGCGCGGCCCCGCCGCCCTACCTAGCGGCCCCGCCGCCCTTCCTCGCGGCCCCGCTGCCCCATCGCGCGGCCCCGCCACTCTACCACGCGGCCCCGCTGCCCTATCTCGCGGCCCCGCCGCCCTACTCAGCGGCCCCGCCGCTTCTCTGCAGCGGCCCTGCCGCCCTATCAAGCGGCCCCGCTGCCACTCCTCTACAGCGGCCGAGCCGCCCAGCAGCAGAGCAGCCGAGCCGCCCCGCCGCCGAGCCGCGCTGCAGCCGAGCCGCCCGGCCGCCCACCAGCCGAGCCGCCCGACAGCAGAGCAGCCGAGCCGCCCAGCAGCCGAGCCGCCCTGCAGCCGAGCCGCCCTGCAGCCGAGCCGCCCAGCAGCCGAGCCGCCCAGCAGCCGAGCCGCCCAGCAGCCGAGCCGCCCAGCAGCCGAGCCGCCCAGCAGCTGAGCCGCCGAGCCGCCGCGCCGCCCTCCTTCCGGGCCGCCCGACCTGCCCTGTCTGGTGAGCACAGCGCCTTTCCACTGCACTGCCCTCACCCTACTGTTTGCGCTGCTAGTCGTCTAGGGTCATGGCCACCCCTAGTGTTCTCGTCTTTGACGGTGAGGGTCGGGCCGTTGACTTTGAGGTCTGGATAGATGACCTGCAGCTGTTCTTACAGTGCGATAGGGCAGACGGCCTCTCTCTCTTTGACCTCACCTCTGGCGCCTCCACTGCCCCTGCTGCTGATGCTGACGCCACTGTTCGCTCCCAGTGGGCCACGCGCGACGCTGCTGCACGTCTTGCTGTGCGTCGCCACCTCCCTACCTCCGAGCGTGCGCACTTTAGTCAGTACAAGAGTGCTCAGACCTTGTACGACGCTGTAGTTGCGCGCTACTCCTCCCCTGCCACTGCTGCACTGAGCCGTCTCATGCTACCGTACCTCTTTCCTGACCTTGCTGCCTTTCCCACAGTCGCTGACCTCATTACGCACCTCCGCACTAGTGACACTCGCTACCGAGCTGCACTCCCTCCTGACTTCTGCGCCAAGAACCCCCCCCCCATGTACATCACTCTTTACTACATAGTCACTCGCCTTCCTGACTCCCTTCGCGTAGTCAGGGACCACTTTCTCTCTGTCTGTCCCACCACTCTCACTGTTGACCTCCTCGAGAAGTCCCTCCTAGCGGCCGAGAAGAGCATAGTCGCTGTAGGGGCCTCTCGTGGTGACCCGCGCACCCCCATCTTTGAGGGGTGTTCCCCCTCCCCCCTTCTGCCCTCTGTTGCCTCTGCTGCTGCGGCCGACCTCCTTGGTCTTGAGTCGGTCGGTGTGGCGTCTGCCCCTAGCGGGAGACGCCGCTCTGGCAAGGGCAAGGGGGGCAAGGGCGCTGGAGGAGCGAGCGGGGGCGGTGGAGGTGGAGGTGGCGGCAGTGGGGGGAGTGGGGGTGGTGGTGGGGGTGGAGGGGTCGGTGGCGGCAGTGGAGGCGGAGGTGGCGGCGGCGGTGGCGGTGGGAGCGGAGGTGGCGGAGGAGGCGGCGGTGGAGGCGGAGGCGGAGGCGGCGGCAGTAGCGGAGGCGGCGGAGGCGGCGGAGGCAGCGGGGGTGGCGGTGGTGCTGGTCGCGGGTCTTCGCAGAGGAGTGGCTCCGGTGGTGGCTCGCGCCAGCAGCTGCAGCGTGGTCGTGACACCCTGTCCCCTCAGCAGCTTCGTGAGTGGTACACTGCGCGTCAGCGGGGTGGGGGTTTTGGTCCGTGCTCCTACGTTTTGCGCACCGGCGACCGTGCGGGTGAGCAGTGTGGGGGTGCCCACCTCACCCAGCGCTGCTTTGGCCGCCTGACGGACGCGTGGCGTCACCAGTTCCCGGAGGCCTCAGAGATCCCTCGCTGGGGCGAGCTGTCCAGGGCGGGTGTTGCCATCTATGATCTTGACTTTGATGCTATTCTCTCTGCCATGTATGCTGTGTCTATTAGTGATGAGGGTGACTGTTACCGGTGTTTCCCGCCCGATCCGGGCATTGAGACTGCTGCGCTAGGTCCTGGTGAGGCTGCTGCCCTAGGTGCTTGCGACGCTGCTGCTCTAGGTGCCCGTGTGTCTGCGTCCTCAGGTACTGGTGAGTCTGCGCTCTCAGGTACTACGTCGGCTTCGGCCTCCCTCACCTTCACCCTTGACTCTGGGGCGTCTCGCTCCTTCTTTCGGGACTGCACCACACTCACACCGCTGAGTCGGCCGGTTGCAGTGTCTCTGGCTGACCCCTCTGGGGGTCCTGTCCTGTCTCGCTTCTCCACAGTCCTCCCGTGTCCGGCGGCTCCCTCTGGCACCCTGTCTGGTCTCTACCTCCCCTCGTTCTCTACGAACCTGGTGAGTGGTGCTGACCTCCAGGATGCGGGTGTACACCAGTTCACTCCTGCGCGTCAGCGGGTGACGCACTGTACAGAGGCTAGCACAGGCCGACACCTGGCTACGTTTACTCGTCAGCCGGGGTCGAGCCTGTACACTCTGACCACTGCGTCTCCTCCAGTTGCTGAGTCTGGTAGGGTAGCTACGTCGGGTCAGGTGTTTGCTGCGGCGTCCAGGTCTGGTCCTGAGTCTGCCCCCTGTTCGTGTCGTCTCCTGTCTCACGAGACTCTCCTCTGGCACCACCGCCTTGGCCACCCCTCTCTGCTTCGGCTCAGAGGTATGGCCTCCCGTCTTCTTGTGTCCGGTCTCCCCCGGTCCCTCCCTCCCCTTCCTCAGGGCCCTGGCCCTGCCTGTGTCCCCTGTGTCGAGGGGCGCCAGCGTGCTGCCCCTCACTCCTCCCAGTTCCCTCCGACAGAGGCCCCGTTGCAGACACTTCACATGGATGTGTGGGGCCCAGCCCGCGTCCGTGGACAGGGTCACGAGCGCTACTTCCTGCTCGTTGTTGACGACTACTCGCGTTACACCACAGTCTTCCCCTTGCGCAGCAAGGGTGATGTCACTGAGGTGCTGATCGACTGGATCCGCGCAGCTCGTCTCCAGCTCAGGCAGAGCTTCGGCTCGGACTTTCCTGTTCTGCGTCTGCACTCGGACAGAGGCGGAGAGTTCTCCTCTGGCCTTCTGCGTGCCTACTGTCGTGCACGGGGCATCCGTCAGACCTTCACGCTTCCGGACTCACCGCAGCAAAATGGGATTGCTGAGCGCCGCATTGGCATGGTCATGGACGTCGCTCGTACGTCTATGATGCATGCGGCTGCCCCCCATTTTCTGTGGCCGTTTGCGGTGAGGTACGCGGCGCATCAGATCAACCTCCACCCCAGGGTCTCCAGGCCGGAGACCTCCCCAGCCTTGCTGTGGACGGGGAAGGTTGGCGATGCGTCGGCGTTCCGGGTCTGGGGATCTCGGGCGTTTGTCCGCGACCTGTCTGCGGACAAACTATCCCCTCGTGCTGCTCCTTGCGTCTTCCTGGGGTTCCCCCTTGACGCGCCTGGGTGGCAGTTTTACCACCCCACCTCTCGCCGTGTTCTGTCCTCCCAGGACGTCACGTTTGACGAGTCGGTCCCCTACTACCGCCTCTTCCCCTACCGCACTCCGTCCCTCCCCCCACCCCCACTCTTCCTGGTACCAGGTCCCCCCCAGGTAGACCCCCTCCCCCCTCAGGGTCCTGCCCCTTCAGGTGTGTCCCAGGTAGACGCAGTCGAGCCTGTCGAGGTCACTGGTGACTCTGGTGCTGCTGAGGGTGCTGAGGCTGGGGGTGCTGTGCCTGGGGGTGCGGAGCCTAGGGGTGCTGGGCCTGGGGGTGCTACGTCTGGGGGTGCTGAGCCTAGGGGTGCTGAGCCTGGGGGTGCTGAGCCTGGGGGTGCTGAGCCTGGGGGTGCTGAGTCTGGGGGTGCTCAGCCTAGGGGTGCTGAGCCTGGGGGTGCTGAGCCTAGGGGTGCTACGTCTGGGGGTGCTGAGCCTAGGGGTGCTACGCCTGGGGGTGCTGAGCCTGGAGGTGCTCCGCCTGGAGGTTCTCCGAGTGCTTCGTCTCGCCGGGAGCCACTTTCTCCACAGGAGCTGCGTGAGTGGTTTGCCCGGCGCTGGAGGCGTGCTGCTGGTGCTGGAGGTCATTCGGCTGCTGAGGGGGCTGCGGTCGCGGGTCCCGGAGGTGCTCGTCCTGGGTGCACTGGAGCTGGTGCTGCTGAGGGTGTTGGCGCTGAGACTACCGCTGGCAGTCCTGCTGGGGGTGCTCCTGGTGCTGCTGGAGGTTCTGGAGCTACTGGTGGTACTGCTGGAGCGGGTGCTCCTGCTGAGGGTTCTGGTGCTGTCCCTGCTGCTTCTAGCGTCGCCGCGCGGCCTCGACCGTACTTCGTTCCACTCCTGCAGCAGGTTCTTGGTCTTCCACCTTCTACTGGTCCTCCTCCTCCCTTAGAGTGTCCACAGCCTGTCTCGTCCCAGCTACAGTTGCAGCCTACCTACCCTTTGCCTGCTCCTTCTCCCTACACTGGTCCTACTGGAGGTCTGGCTGAGCGTCGTGAGCCTGCGTCTCGCCCTGCGTCGCCTGTCCGTACTGCTCGCACTAGTGGTCGCGGTTCCCGTCAGCGTCCTCCTCCTGTCCCTGGCACGCACCGGATGTCTCTGCGTCCGTCCACTGCTCCTCTGCGTGCCCCTTTGCCTTCTCCTCCTGAGTCCTCTCTTCCTGCTCTTCCTGACCCGGAGTCGGACTCCCTTCGTGCTGCCAGTCCTACTGTCACGCGTCTCCTTGCTACTGTTGTCACTGACCCTTCTTTCGAGTCTACTGCTGCGTCTGCTCTCGTTACTGAGCTCGTCGACTTTGCTGCTCGCTGTCGCTTAGACTAGCTGCTAGTCTTGTCGCTGAGTCTGAGTCTGTCTGTCCTCCGTCCGTCGGGGGTGAGTGTGCCCTTGGCACGGACGTCCTTGAGGACAGGCAGGAGGAGTTCCAGTGTCTGGCAGCTGCCTCACCTCATCTCGTGTCCGTACTGCTTACCCCTGAGGGAGACCCGGATGCACTTGACATCCCGACTCCGCGCTCTTACGCGGAGGCGATAGAGGGTCCCTACTCCTCTCAGTGGCAGGCAGCTATGGATGCAGAGATGGCTTCCTGGAAGTCTACAGGCACCTACGTTGACGCTGTCCCCCCTCCTGGGGCGAACATCGTCAGTGGCATGTGGATCTTCAGGGTGAAGCGGCCGCCGGGTTCTCCGCCTGTCTTCAAGGCGCGTTACGTGGCTCGTGGCTTCAGTCAGCGGCAGGGAGTTGACTACTTTCAGACCTTCTCCCCCACCCCGAAGATGACCACTCTTCGGGTACTGCTGCACGTTGCTGCTCACCGTGACTACGAGCTGCACTCTCTTGACTTCAGCACAGCTTTCTTGCAGGGCAGCCTGCACGAGGAGATCTGGCTGCGTCGCCCACCTGGCTTCACTGGGTCTTTCCCTCCTGGTACCCAGTGGAGTCTCCGGCGTCCAGTCTACGGTCTCCGCCAGGCGCCACGTGAGTGGCACGACACACTGAGGACTACGCTTGCGGCTCTTGGGTTTGCTCCTTCTACTGCCGACCCGTCGCTGTTTCTACGCACCGACACCTCTCTGCCGCCGTTCTACATCCTCGTGTACGTCGACGACTTGATCTTTGCCACAGCTGACACTGCTGGACTCGCCTACGTGAAGTCCGAGCTGCAGAAGAGACACACGTGCACAGACCTGGGTGAACTGCGCAGCTACCTTGGCTTGCAGATCACCCGGGACAGAGCACGCCGCACCATTACCCTGACTCAGTCACACATGGTGCAGCAGGTCCTTCAGCGCTTCGGCTTCACGTACTCCTCGCCTCAGGCCACTCCTCTGTCTACTCGCCACTCGCTCTCAGCTCTGCCTTCGGATGAGTCCGTAGAGTCGAGTGGCCCGTACCCAGAGCTTGTTGGCTGCCTCATGTACCTGATGACCTGCACACGACCTGACCTTGCATACCCTCTTAGCATTCTTGCACGCTATGTTGCTCCTGGGAGACACAGACCAGAGCACATGGCTGCAGCGAAGAGGGTGTTGCACTACTTGTGCAGTACGTCGGGCATGGGGCTAGTGCTTGGAGGGCGGAGTCCAGTGGTCCTCACTGGGCACGCGGACGCTTCTTGGGCTGACGACCAGGCTACGCAGCGGTCGTCACAGGGTTACACCTTCAGCCTTGGTTCCGGCTCTGTTTCGTGGCGGGCTACTCGCTCGTCTTCTGTTCTTGGCTCGAGTTGTGAGGCTGAGATCTACGCCGGGGCCATGGCTGCACAGGAGCTTCGCTGGCTCACCTACCTGCTGACCGACCTTGGAGAGCCGCCTCGTTCTCCTCCAGTCCTGTACGTAGACAACAAGGCCATGCTGGCCTTGTGTCGAGAGCAGCGACTGGAGCACAGAACAAAGCACATTGCTCTCCGCTACTTCCTTGCTCGTGAGCTACAGCAACGTGGACAGTTGCGGCTTGCGTACGTGGCCTCTGAGGCCAACACTGCTGATGTCTTCACCAAGGCACTTCTGCCTTGTGATCATCAGCGCTTCTGCACTCAGCTAGGTCTTGTGCCCGTCTTGCCTCACTTGCTCTCCTCTTGACCTTGCTTGTACTCTCACATATATATATACCTGCTCTTGCTTGTCTAGCTTTATATATATGTGTGTACTCTTGCATGTGAACTGGCCGTGTGGCCTTGACCCTGTGCTCGGACTGTGTGGTGACCTTGTGATCCACCCTGAGCTTGCTTTACTTTGCTTTGCTTGACTGGTCTTGTGACCCCTTGTTCTCCCCCACTTTGCCTATGGGGGTGTGTCAGAACATTGTAGCTTATGCTGTTGTGTAGGCTATAGTGGGGTATCCCATAGGGGGTACAACCAATTAGGGTTTCATATTTGTACTCACTTCATTTCATAGTTCATCCATTCTTGATCAAATGTTCTCAGCAAGGCGAAGCGGGGACGTTACTGTGGCTCGAACCTTCTCCAGCAAATCGGCTTCGAGGTGTTGGGAGAGGTGAGTAAAGAGTTTAGGAGGGTAGCCCGATTGAAGCACAGGCCATGATGGGAAGCGGTCACGAATGTCTTGGGGAAGCATGGTCATGGTAGATGAGATTGAAGGGTCGAGGAGGTTAATGGAGTCCGTGGTGACGTAAGGGCGGAAAAGAGGAGCACCATCAGTGATGAAGTGGGTGGATAGGGTCGAAACTGCCTGCGCCCAGCTGCAAAGGTAACTGAGGGGGGCGATGGATGCAGAGCTGCGAATGCCGAAGCCACCTAAGCGGATAGGGAGCGAGGCTTGGAGGCGGGCCGATGTGGACTGTTCAGAGGTGGGATTCCAGTACTCGGAGCCCAGGAGCTGAGAGAAGTGGCTGAAAATCGTGCTGTCCCATGAAGAGAGTAGCTCTTGGATTTCGGGAAAAGGTGCGACAGTTCTGAGGAGGAAAGAAGGTCGGACAGTGATGCATAAGGAAAGGATCCGTGAGGCAATCTGTGGGTCCTGCAGTTGATGCAGTAAAGGGAGGGAGGTAGTGAAAGAATCGAGCTTGTCACGAACTGTAGAGATGATGAAACCGTCTGAGCCGGTGGGAACTCCAGCCACAGTGAGACCGTTTGCAGCGATGGAAATACCCGGGGGCGGAATGCAGTGTTCGGGCAAGTCCATAGGGGCCCATAGAGAGCACTTAGAGGGTTGGACAGTAAGGCCAAGAGAGAGAAGGCGGGAGGTAAGGTCATTGTATGCGGAAAAGACGTCTGAGGGAGGGCCGACCAAGTAGGTATCGTCTGCGTATGAGGTAACGAAAATTGAGGGAGACTGTTGCTGGGTTGGTTGGATGGCTAGCTGCTGTGTTAGGGCGTAAAGAAAAGGGCCACAAGGGTCGCCTTGACAAACACCAGAAGCTGACTGGAATGTGTGGAGAAGGGGGCCGCTGCGGTAGTGGAGAGGTGAAGGGGTGGAGTAGAATAGGCGGAAGAATGGAATGAGACTAGAGAATGGGGAGCGCCTTAATGCCTCAAACATGGAAACCCGGTTGAATGAGTTGAACGCGTTTGCAACGTCCAGCTGAAGCACCACCCAGTCTGGATGAAGGGAGAAGGCGGAGCACACTGCGTGCGACATAATCTCGATCCCGGCCGGAACTGCTACGCCAAATTGAAGGTGAGGAAGGAATGTCTCTCGCATCTGCTGCTTGAAAAGGAGAGTGATGCAGCGTGAAAGGAGGCGTGGTAGCACTTCTCCAATGGCGATGGGACGTACACCACCATGCGGTTTCTGTAGGGCCACGAGGTTCGAAGCGGTGTAGAAAGGCCTGACTGCAAGTGGAAGATCACCCTGCAGCCAGTTCTAGAATACGTGGAGGAGAGAAGGGAGATGCTGCTGGTGAGAGAGAAACGTGTCCCTGAGGTGCTCAATGAACCACCCAGAAGGTCCAGCAGCTGTGCCACGGGGGGCGGACTGTAGAGCGGCCTGGAGAACAGGGACAGTAAGCTGTGGTGCGGCTGTAGGAGTGAAGCTGTGTAACCAGTCAGGAATTTCTGCTGCAGCAGGTGGGTGCTTGGAGCTGAGGGCAGCAACCGTTTCTGATGATGGAGGAGCTAGCTCGCCAGCTTCCAGTGCTGCCAGTGAACGTGACCAGTCCCCGCATTTCGCAAACCGTTTCGCACGGTTGAGACGAGCCTGCAGCGCCGAAGAACGTGCCGATGCCATGTGCAGAGGTCTGGCGGCTGGAGTGGCTGCAGCTACGGCTTCACTGAAAAGAGACTGCCAGTCACCATTGATGAAGCGGTGCGCTAAGGAGGCACATGAAGAGGTAAGGGACTGCGTGGGAGCAGCGGCGGATGGTAGGCGCAGCAAGAGACGCGGAAATGTCAAGAGAATGAGGTGTGCAGCGTCGTCAGAAGGATGCTGTGCAAGGCGGCGCAGTGGAATGAGAAGTGCATCGAGAATGAGGAGTCGGATGCGGGAGGGGATTCGGCGGAGAATAGGGCCAGGTGAGACTGCTGGGCTGAAGAAGGAAGGCCAATCCCAGGAAGGAACGGCCTCCCAAGTGGCTTGAGGAATTGCAGGTCGATCTACGGCTGCAGGCGCCGAGGTTGGGGCTGATGAGCGGGGAGGAGGAGGCCGAGCAGCTTGCTGACGTGTGGCGGTGTTGCGAGAGCAGGCTGGAAGGTGACGGGCCAGCGAACCTGAGTTGGCAAAGGTGCGTCGACATGTGGGGCAAGAATTAGGAGGTAGTGGGTTATCGGAGGTTGATGAGGGCGGGCAGGGTTGCGGGCATGGCTGCGTAGCGTGAGGGGTAGGGGAAGGAGGAGGGGGATCTCGAGAAGGTGAAGCAGCAGTTTCATAGTGTGATAGTGGGTGCGTGTTGTCGGCAGGGGCTGTGGGATCAGGAGCATCTGCTGTAGTCGTCGGTGGAGGTGTTGAGGTAGATGAAAGATGGGCACGGGAAGTCGAGGGCTGAGGGTGAGAGGTTTGAGGCCGTGATGGAGACGGAGAATCAGGAAGGGTGGCTTTAAGGACCTGCTGGAGAATCTCCTTTTGTTTCTCCGAGACAAATTTTGGCGCTGCTGTTGGCTGAGGTTGCTGGGAGGGAGTAGAAGATGATTGAGGCTTAGGAGTAGGGGGTGGTGCAAGGTTTGATGAGGAGGTCGAAAGAATCGCGAAGGCTGGAGTTTGTCGCGAACGGGCAGGCGGACGAGGAGAAATGGGTTCAGAGTCTTGGGCAGCACGGCCCCTTTTGCGGCCTGTCATTCTGTAAGGTATTGGGCTGGTGGCATGCAAAATGATGTTGGAGGTAAAGGAAGCATAACAAATGAGGTGGAAAGTGTAGTCTTTGTTTCAAGGAAGAAGTTGGTGTAGCGAGGAAGGTCACAAAAAGTGGCTGGGGAGAAGCACAAGCGCGGATGTGAGGTTGGCAAAGTGGCGGGAAGTTGGCTTGGTGGGGGGAGGCGAAAATGCACGTCGGGGGAAGGGGGGGGGTCGCAAATCTGTTGTTCGTGCAGCAGGAGGTAGAAACTGATGACGGCACCGTGCTATCCACTGCTGCTCAACACAAAGCTCAAGCCACGCCGTTGCAAGGAAGACTCCACACTGCGCCGTGCGCTAATTGCTTGCCAGATAAGCCCTAGTTTCGTATCAACGTGCGCCAACACCAACACGGTAGATCCACGATTGTAGTTTCAATCGGCTCGTCGCGTCAAGGGTGTCGCGGATTGCTAGCAAGTCGTGGCTCAAATGTACGAGTATAAAAGAAGATGCAAGGTTGCTGATTTCGCCCTTTAGCGGAGAGTAGTGAGCTTAGCAGCTTTACTTGAGCGAGCAGCTTAGCGAACTACTACGAGGAGCGTACTAGCGCTTTTTATAGGAGCTGCAGCGAGCTTGAGTGACAACGAAGCAAACTACTACGAGGAGCGTACTAGCGCTTTTTATAGGAGCTGCAGCGAGCTTGAGTGACAACGAAGCAAACTACTACGAGGAGCGTACTAGCGCTTTTTATAGGAGCTGCAGCGAGCTTGAGTGACAACGAAGCAAACTACTACGAGGAGCGTACTAGCGCTTTTTATAGGAGCTGCAGCGAGCTTGAGTGACAACGAAGCAAACTACTACGAGGAGCGTACTAGCGCTTTTTATAGGAGCTGCAGCGAGCTTGAGTGACAACGAAGCAAACTACTACGAGGAGCGTACTAGCGCTTTTTATAGGAGCTGCAGCGAGCTTGAGTGACAACGAAGCAAACTACTACGAGGAGCGTACTAGCGCTTTTTATAGGAGCTGCAGCGAGCTTGAGTGACAACGAAGCAAACTACTACGAGGAGCGTACTAGCGCTTTTTATAGGAGCTGCAGCGAGCTTGAGTGACAACGAAGCAAACTACTACGAGGAGCGTACTAGCGCTTTTTATAGGAGCTGCAGCGAGCTTGAGTGACAACGAAGCAAACTACTACGAGGAGCGTACTAGCGCTTTTTATAGGAGCTGCAGCGAGCTTGAGTGACAACGAAGCAAACTACTACGAGGAGCGTACTAGCGCTTTTTATAGGAGCTGCAGCGAGCTTGAGTGACAACGAAGCAAACTACTACGAGGAGCGTACTAGCGCTTTTTATAGGAGCTGCAGCGAGCTTGAGTGACAACGAAGCAAACTACTACGAGGAGCGTACTAGCGCTTTTTATAGGAGCTGCAGCGAGCTTGAGTGACAACGAAGCAAACTACTACGAGGAGCGTACTAGCGCTTTTTATAGGAGCTGCAGCGAGCTTGAGTGACAACGAAGCAAAAAATTGATGTTAACGGCCAGAAATGCAATTTACTATTGTCTATACTTACACACACTGCTTTCGTCTTGTTCCAGTCGAAGCCGTTCGGTGGCTTCTTTCAGACGTTTCCAGGGCTCCGCATTAGTTCCATCTGGCTTGTCTTAGCTCCTTGGCTCCTTAGCTTCAACTGACTTGACACGCACGGTTAGCCATGGCACGTCGCGACGAAAAGAAGCGACGAAAGCGAGACGATTCAGACAGCGAGGATTCAGATGAGCGCAGGAGACGGAGCAGGAAGAGCCGGAAATCCCGTAAAGACAGTGACGATGACGATTCTAACGAGGATCCCTCCGCGTCAGACTCTGACGGTGATCGCGGCCGCAATCGCAAACGCCGAAGCCGCGGTAGCCGGAAAAAGAAGCAGCGGGGAGGTGTCTCTAGCGAGAGTGACGATAGCAGTCGGAGCCGAAGCCGCAGCAGGAGCAGAAGCAGGGGACGGAGCAAAAAGGGCAAAAAGGACAAAAAAGAACGGAGAGAGAAGAGCAAGCGGGATTCGCGCCGGCGACGCCGGGAACGCTCGGACTCAGAGGGATCGGAGAGTTCTGGTGGTAGTATCGGGAGTGATAGTAGCGAGGGGAGTCCGTCGCGTGGCGGGAGGGGCGGGAAGAAGGTGTCGGAAGAGGAGCTGAGGGAGTTTTTGGCGAAGCGCGCGCAGAAGAAGGCGCAGAAGCTGGCGAAGAAGCTCAAGCCGAACGCGGTGTCGGGTTACACGAACGACAGTAACCCGTTCGGCGACACGAACCTCACTGAAACGTGAGTGGCGTGTTTTGAGAGCCGCTGAGAGTATGATTTTTTAGGTGACGGTTGCGTGATTTTGTTTAGTGCGACAAGGTAGGGAAGGTTATGGTGAAGGAAACCCCCAACAGGGATCTGTACGTCAGGATGGGGTTTTGAGAGGTCTCAAAACTCGTCAGGATGGGGTGAGGGGGCACGACAGAATAAGGTGAGTTTTGAGACGTCTCAAAAGGGTGACTTCACGTCAGGATGGGTTGAGAACGGCAGGATGTGGTGAGAGAGGGATATGTACTGGCACGAAAGTCGGCTGCTCATGCGTGTATCACCCCTGCCTGTCGTTTTGGCTCGCATGTTCGTGAGGCTCATGAAGGTACGCGCTACGCATCTATTCACGCGCCACTCCGTGCGCGCAGGTTTGTGAGGCGCAAGAAGATCAAGAAGGACATGCTGCGAGTCACACTTGCAGTGGTGCCGTGAGCCGCTTGCTCATCCGAGTATTCCTGCCCTGCCCTACCCCCCAATCCCCCTATTCACCTCTCCGTGCTTGCAGGTTTGTGTGGCGCAAGAAGATCAAGAAGGACGTGCTGTGAGGCACGCTGGACCCGCACCCACCCATGCCCCCCTCTTCCCCTTCCCCATCCCTCCGTCCCGCTGTGCTATGTATCCGTTTATCCATTATGACGTACCCGCAGGTTCGTGTGGCGCAAGAAGATCGAGAAGGATGTGCTGCGAGGCACGCTGGCAGTGGTGCTGTTAGAGCGCTTGCTCGTGTGTGTATTCACAACGCACCCTGCCCCCACCCCACCTACCGGTGCTGAACTTGCAGGTTCGTGTGGCGCAAGAAGATCGAGAAGGACGTGCTGCGAGGCACGCTGGACCCGCGGGAGATCACTCTGCAGAACGAGAGGAAGCGACTGGAGGCCCGCATGGTGGGTGGTCTTTGATTTTGAGACGTCTCAAAACACAACTGGAGGCCCGCATGGTGGGTGGTCTTTGATTTTGAGACGTCTCAAAACACAACTGGAGGCCCGCATGGTGGGTGGTCTTTGATTTTGAGACGTCTCAAAACACGACTGGAGGCCCGCATGGTGGGTGGTCTTTGATTTTGAGACGTCTCAAAACACAACTGGAGGCCCGCATGGTGGGTGGTCTTTGATTGCAGTCTGTGTGTAGTTGTGGCCTGGATCTGTCTCTCCTTCCTGCTTCGAGCCGTCCTGCGAGGTACGCTGCGATGTGCATTGTTCACTGAGGTACGCTGCGAGGCACGCTGGACACGTGGGAGATGAGATCACCCTGTAGAACGAAAGGAAGCGCCTTGATGCCCGCATGGGGGGACTGCTGCTGTTGCTGCCGCCGCCGCCGCCGCCGCCGCCGCCGCTGCTGCTGCTGAGTTGATTACATTCTGTTGTTTCGATTCCAGGCTGGCATCGCTCGCCCTTCCACCCATTCCGCACGAGTCAGCTGCGCTCACTCCTTTTTTTTCTTATTTTTTGCCCCACCCGCACTGCCTGCCTCCCACCTGCATTGTCTTGTCGACCCGCATGCGTGTGTGCGAGCAGGAGGAGATTGAGAAGGTGAAGAAGCGGCGTGAGGAGAGGATGCTGGAGAAGGCACAGCACGACGAGGAGATGGTGAGTGGTGGGGAGAGATGGTGCGTGGTGGAGAGAGATGGTGAGTGGTGGGGGGAGATGGTGAGTAGAGGAGAGATGGTGAGTAGAGGAGAGATGGTGAGTAGAGGAGAGATGGTGAGTAGAGGAGAGATGGTGAGTAGAGGAGAGATGGTGAGTAGAGGAGAGATGGTGAGTGGAGGAGAGATGGTGAGTAGAGGAGAGATGGTGAGTAGGGGAGAGTTGGTGAGTAGAGGAGAGATGGTGAGTAGAGGAGAGATGGTGAGTAAAGGAGAGATGGTGAGTAGAGGAGAGATGGTGAGTAGAGGAGTGATGGTGAGTAGAGGAGAGATGGTGAGTAGAGGAGTGATGGTGAGAAGAGGAGAGATGGTGAGTAGAGGAGAGATGGTGAGTAGAGGAGAAATGGTGAGCAGAGGAGAGATGGTGAGTAGGGGAGAGATGGTGAGCCGACTCAGAAGTTGCCTACTGGCTTGTTGTGTCTGTGATTCTTGTTACGATAAAACCACAGTTTTATATTTGTTTCCCCTCTCGTTCTGAGAGGTCTCAAAACTTTTCCGTCATGACCTCACCACTTATGAATATCTGTTTTTTTTCTCTCATGCGTGCGCATGTGCCTCTGTCTCTGTGCCTATTCATGTGTTTTCTGTGTGCCTCCGTGCCTGTGCCTTTGTCCGTTGCTGCTATAGGCCATGCTGGCACGTGAGAGGGCTCGAGCTGAGTTCCAAGACTGGGAAGAGAAGGAAGATGAGGTACTATGTCTTATTCACTCACTCTCGCTCACTCACTCACTCACACGCACACACTTTTCAGCACACAGCACAGAGAGAGAGAGAGAGAGAGAGAGAGAGAGAGAGAGAGAGGGAGAGAGAGAGAGAGAGAGAGAGAGAGAGAGAGAGAGAGAGAGAGAGAGAGAGAGAAGCAAGGGACTTAGTCTCTTCCCTCCTAGGCTCATCCCCTCTCTTCCCCAGCTATATAAGGGCCCCTTGGCCTTCTCTCAAGCTCATTCTTCATTTGGTGTTTCTGATTTTTCCGGTTCTCTTCGTTCAAGAGAGCGAGGGAGAGAGAAGCAAGGGACTTAGTCTCTTCCCTCCTAGGCTCATCCCCTCTCTTCCCCAGCTATATAAGGCACTGGCTTCATCTGCGGGGGGAATGCAGACGCGCGAGATCGGCGGGCCGACACTGCCAGATCACGAGGAGCAGGGAGGGGACGTGGCGGAGCGAACTGGGCCCACGGGTCCCCGCCACCCGCGCCAACAAAGCCAGTCCCCGCAGGCAGCGGACGAACTGAGCGCGCTGGGAATCCCACAGGATTATGGGGCAGGAGCGCGGCGAGAGGAGCGACTGGAGCAGCGGGAGGAGCAGATTGCGAGGACGACCCCGCATGGGAGCGGTGGAGAGCTTTCTCCACACCGTCCAATTTCTTCAGGACTTGCTCCATCGCGGATGGCGCTGGACGCGCAGCCCCGCCGCGACCGTAACCCCCCCGTCGCCCACGATGCGCACGCCCACTCGTGCTCGAACGCACAGGCGACTGTGGGCGAGACAAGCCCCGCTGACGCTGGCGGTCAGGGGAACGCTCCGCGCGACGAGGAGAATGGAGCCGCTGGCGCTTCGCAAGAGGGGGAGAACGTGGCGCCAAGGACCGATATCCAGACGCATCACGAGCAAGCGATCGCGGACGGGAGGAGCGGGGAGCGGGAGAACGGTGGCGATACGAGCGGTGGTCACGGGAACGGCTCCGTGACACCTTGCGCCGAGGCAACCGAGGAGACCGCGGTGATCGCGGAGACCGCGGCGGGCGCGAGCTAGCGCGACGGTCGACGTGGCGGCTCTCCCGCCTACCGTCGTGGGCCACCGGCGAACGATGGCGAGGCGAATGCCCCCGGTGCGCCACAGCCTCTGCGCCGGAGCGCGCGACGGACCCCGCACGCGCAGGCTCCCCCAGAGGCAATGATCCGCCTCCGAGCAGACCCAGATCCCGACGCTGATCCTCAAAGCGCCGACGGATCTCGTTCGCAGCCGCCGGCGGAGCAACAGGCACGCTCGCGGCAGGACGCGCGTGAGGAAGTGGACGGGGAGCAGGATCAACCTCCACGGCGCGGTCACAGCCCAGAGCACCGAGGAAGTCCATCGGCCTCCGCTCAAGGCGCGCCACTGGCCCGGGACGAGCCGACGACTCCGATCTCCCAGGCGCAACAGGCCGCACCAGTGGCCGCCACTCCGAGGAGCGGGCGGGGAAGCACGCGAGGAAGAGGCGGGCGTCGAGGAGCACGCGGAGTACAGCGCAGCGCAGGCCACGCGGCAAGGGGGAACCCCCGCCAGCCACCGAGCCCAATTTGGTTAGGGGAGCCGGCGGAACGAGTCACGCGCCAGTCGTTCGCCAGGCGCGGGGCGAGGGGAGGAAGGACAGCGCAAGCAGGGAGAAATGGTGATACAAATGCAGAGGGGAGTGGCGACGAATATGTACCGTCGGATCTGAGGCAACCCGACAATCCCGACTCACCCCGCGCGGAGGCAGGGGCGGAGCAGGCGCAGCTGCAGGAAAGAGGATTGGGCCGCCGACAGAACCGCAGACCCCAACCCCCCCCGGACCAGGCCCTCTCAGCATCCCAGCTGGCATCGATGGACGATCTCTTTGAGATCGCGATGAGCTGGGACTTGTCTACCCTAACATCGACCTCTCACCTGCCTATCGTCCGCCGCCTGCCACCGCAGATCCTAAGCGACTATTCCACCTGTATGCTGGCAGCGCTCCTACGGATCTCCAAGCTGCCAAACTGCGCGGGAGCTTGGCCGGTCCTCATGTTTCTGCCACGTCTGACCCTACGACTTAGCAGGAGGTCCAGCTCTAGGTGGAAGGTGCTGCGAGAACAAATGCACCTATTCAGATGTGGCCACTGGAACCAGCTGTACAGTGACTACACGGGGTCCCTGCACCAAGCCGAACCACCTCAGCACCAAAATGACCCCCTCGGAATCTGCTCACGAGTGGAGGGGCTGGTGAAACGTGGTAACCTGCGAAAAGCACTGGCAGCCCTCCAACCCTCGCCAGCAGCCCCTGCGACAACCGCGACACTACAGCAGCTGGAATCGAAACATCCCCAACCCCAAATTGACCTGCCCGACTGGGTCCACTCCTACACAACACCCACGCAATTTTCGTGCACCGCGGAAAACTTCTCAAACGTCCTTGGGGATTGCCCCAGCGGTGTTGGGGCTGGTCCATCAGGGTCAACATTTGAACATTATCGCGACCCAGCCCTAAGTAACATCGAAGTACTAGGGCACCTGCACTCCGCCGTAACCCACCTCCTCTCGACAAACCTCTCCGCCGAGGTTGCAGCACTACTCTCGCCATCCCGCCTCATTGCATTCGCGAAACCAGGGGGGGGGGTGCGCCCTATAGCGATAGGAGAATCCCTGCTCCGGCTGGCAGCAAAGGTAGCACTCTCAGAACTGCAAGGAGAGACAAGGCGATTTTTCTTACCCCAACAATTCGGCGTGGCAGTCCCAGGCGGGGCCGAGTTCGTTATCCACGCAGTCAGAGACATCACCACCTCACAACCATCAAGCCTAGTCCTCCAACTCGACATCGAAAACGCATTCAACTCCGTAGAGAGGATAGCGTTCTTTAACGCACTCACCAACACCCCGCTCGCCCCACTCATTCCCTTCACACGCTCCTTCTATGCGACGCCTTCACAGCTGCTGACCGATCCCCGCTTAAGCACAACGACACTCACCAGTGGTAGGGGAGTTAGGCAGGGGGACCCCCTCGGACCCCTTCTATTCGCGGCTTCAATCCAGCAGCACCTCAGACGCGTAGCAACAGAGCACCCCGAAGTAACGGTCCTAGCATACACAGATGACATCACCCTGATTGGACCGACGACAGCAACGCTAGACGCACTAAAAGTACTGACACCGCTGCTAGCCCAGGACGGCCTCACCTGCAACCTCCGAAAATCGTCGGCATGGTCCTCCTCGCCGATCGAAGGCAACGAGCTCCCTGAGGGCCTTCCCCTCACCCACGAGGGGGTACGGGTGCTAGGAAGCCCTGTGGGGTCAAAGCGCTTCTGCGATGACCTCGTCCGCAGTACCTTGACCGACGCGGCGGCACCCCTGGGCTCCTTAGCATCCATCCATCCACAGCATACCCTCCTACTCCTATCTCGCTGCATCAGCCGCAGAATAGGCTACCTGCTGCGCACCACTCCGGCAGACGCCCTACCTCTCTCAGAATGGCATGCGTGGTGCGCCGAACTGCTCAACACTGCCTTAACCGCCGCCAGCATCCAACCACCACGCCGTGACACAGAGTTCAACTTCCTACTGCGCCAAGCAACCCTCCCAGTAGCACTGGGTGGGCTAGGCCTCACGGACCCCACAACAGAAGCAGCACCAGCCTACCTGGCTTCGACAACAGAGGCGCTACGCCTACTCCGCTCACTTGACCTCCCAGCAACCTCGGCGCTAGGGAGCAACAGCAACGCCCTACAGCCGTCGGCAGCACACTCGGTCACCATCCAAGACATGGAGGGACGACTGCCACCACTGGCACTGCAGATCCTCCGCGGGGAACAGGAATCCCCGTCCCAAGACCAGCTGCAGCGCGCCCTTTCCCAGGAAGTACATGCGGCAAAAGCCGACGGCCTGACAGAGGAATCACGCGCAATCAGGTCTGCCCCCGAGTTGGGGCACACACTCCGCCTCGTCAGCCTGAGAGGTGAGGGAGCGGGGGCATGGCTGCAGGCCCTACCCCTGACCCCAGACCTCTGCTTTTCACCAGGGCAATTCCGAACAGCCCTGGCCTTCCGCATGGGCATCCGACAGAACGTACCCACCGTGTGCGAGTGTGGAGAGCTCGTAGCCGACTGCAGCCTCCCCAACCACCTACTCCGCTGCAGCACAGGCCCTGACAGAACACGCACACACAACCAGCTGGCTTTCGCCGTGGCTAAAATGGCGAGGGAGGCACAGCTGGTGGTATACCTGGAGAACGCGATGTACTCACCACCGGATGACCCGAAGAAGGCAGATGTGATTGTACGCGACCCAGACAGTGGTGAGACATGGATCACAGACACGACCATCACTGACCCCGTGCTACAGAACCGTGACCCAGCAGCCCGCAAACCCCCTGGATGGGCTGCAAGGGAGGCTCAGAAAAGGAAGGAACGAGACTACTACAGGCACACAGAACACGTGGTGTTCTGCGCCCTAGCTGTTGAGACCTATGGGGCAAACGCACCCCCCACAACGGCGTTCCTGAAGCTGCTGGCCACAGCAGCAGCTAGGAACCGCTTCAGGGCCAATCCCTTGGCGAAAACCGCCAAGAAAATGGCCTGCCACTTCAGCCAGCGCTGGTCAGTGGCCCTCCAGCGCTCTCAAGCGAATGCCCTGCACACCAAGGCCAGGGCAGGGATCGAGGCGGCGCACCCCCAGATGGCAGCAGACCCATGGCCGCTGCACCTGGGGGACATCCTCCACACACTGGAGGGGTAGAGGGTCACTGAGGGGGGGAGGAGGGTCAGAGGGATGGGCCAATGGGGCAGAGGGTCTAAAGGGAACCACAAATCAAACCGTATGCTTGTACCCCCGCTGAATTAATACAAAGGACCATTTGAGAGAGAACCATGCAGTACGCTGTAATCACCTGGCATGGTACATTTGGCTGTTTTATAGTCATGCCTCTCAAAACGTGCTAGCAAGGGACCGACTGGCTCCATTCAACCCCTCTTCTCCTTCCACTTAATTTAACATCAAGCAATTATCACGTCTCTCCGCTTTCTCCTTTTGATGCGCCTCAAAAGTCTCTTTCCTTCCTTCCTTCCGCCTTCATCTGACTGACACTCCTCCGTCCTCTCACCCCCCTCAACCTCGCTCACCCTCTCCCATCCCCCCTCGCCCTTTCTCACTACTTGTCACCCCTTGTAACCGCCTCTCACCCCTCTCAGTTCCACTTCGAGCAAAGCCGAGTGCGCTCGGAGATTTGCCTGAGGGAGGAACAAAGCCCATAGATGTGCTGGCGAAGACTTTTGGGACATTAAACAATATCCTCTTGCCCCTTCTCATCTTCTCGTAACCCATATCACCCTTCCCCACCGCCTCTCACCCCTCTCAGTTCCACTTTGAGCAAAGCCGAGTGCGCTCGGAGATCCGCCTGAGGGAGGGTCGAGCAAAGCCCATAGATGTGCTGGCGAGGAACCTCACGCTGTCTGGGGAGTTTGACATCGAGGTCAACGAGCCGTACAAGATCTTCAAGGTGGGTTTAAAGCCTAGGGAATGCGCAATGTCAACGGAACTGTTTGTCAACTCAAAAGCCCATTGACGTGCTGGCGAGGAACGTCACCTCATGCTCTCAGGGGACTTTGACATCGAGGTCAACGAGCCGTACAAGATCTTCAAGGTAGGTTGTTAAACATTCCACATGTTCTGGTGGGAGTGGCTCAAGAGTCGACTCAGAAGCCCATATGCGTGCTGGCAGGTAACCTCACCTCACGGTCTCAGGGGACTTTGACATTTGGGTCAACGAGCCGTACAAGATCTTCAAGGTGGGTTGGGGCTCTCTGGCGAGGAACCTCACGCTCTCAGGGGACTTTGACATTTGGGTCAACGAGCCGTACAAGATCTTCAAGGTGGGGTCTGGGTTTGGGGTCTTGGTTTGGGGTTATTTAGAAGGTGGGGTTTGTGCATGCGGTGTCGTTTTGTCACTTTTGCAGGTGGCGAGCTCGTGACACTTGGTCATCAAATCAAATCGCGACGTGTCTACTTTTGTGCATGCATGCATGTGCCATCCATGTCATCCTTGCTCCAGGGCCTGACAGTGAGGAGTTGAAGGAGGGCATCAAGATGCACCTCGAGCTCATGTGTACTTGATCCGGTCTCATTTTGTGCGTCCGCTGTGTGTTCTGTGTATGTGTGTGTTGTGTGTGCTGGGTGCGTGGTATCGTCACGTGCAGGGTCTGACTGTGAAGAAGATGGAGGAGGACATTAAGATGCACATCAAGCTAGTTTTGAGACGTCTCAAAAATAGATTACTATCAGATGGAGGAGGACATCAAGATGCACATCAAGCTAGTTTTGAGACGTCTCAAAAATAGATTACTATCAGATGGAGGAGGACATTAAGATGCACATCAACCTCATGTGTGTGTGGTTGCCCTCCTCATTGTGTGTGTGCTCTGTGTGCGTCTCTGTTGTGCCTCTGTTCTTATCGCCACCAGGGCCTGACGCTGAAGGAGGATCTGAAGGAGGATATCAAGATGCACCTCGAGCTCGCCTCGTGTGTGGTTGATCCCTGTGATTGTGTGTGTCTGCTGTGCGTGTGCGTGGTTTCATCACTCGCAGGGCCGGACGGTGAAGGAGATGGAAGTGCGGAAGGAGGATATCAAGATGCACCTCGATCTCGTCTCGTGTGTCATTGACCTTTGTTCATTGTGTGTGTGCTCTGTGTGTGTCCCTGTTGCGTGTCCATTCTTATCGCCTCCAGGGTCTAACGGTGAAGGAGATGGAGTAGCTGAAGGAGGGCATCAAGATGCACCTCGAGTGCGTCTCATGTGTGCGTGGTTGCTCCTTGTCCTTGTGTGGGTGTGCCGTCTCCTTTGTGCGCTGTGTGCAACAGGGTCTGATGGTGAAGGAGATGGAGGAGATGAAGGAGGACATCAAGATGGACCTCGAGTTCTTGTGTGTGTAATTGCTCTTCTCATTGTGTGGGCCTACTGTGTGTCTTGTGTGTGTGTGTGTGTGTGTGTGTGTGTGTGTGTGTGTGTGTGTGTGTGTGTGTGTGTGCGTGTGCGTGTGCGTGTGCGTGTGCGTGTGCGTGTGTGTGTGCGTGTGTGTGTGTGTGCGTGCGCGCAACAGGGCCTGACGGTGAAGGAGATGGAGGAGTTAAAGGAGGATATCAAGATGCACCTCGAGTTCGACCGCAACAACCCCATGCACCAGGAGTTCTGGAAGGTACAGAGGGGTTCTGGCAGGTACATGGGTTTTCTGGAAGGTACAGAGAGTTACATGTGCGGTGTGCGTGTGTGCAACGTGGGTATCTATCAGGTACCTGTTTCTCTTCCGTAATGGTTGAAATTTACTCCATGAGATTGCAAAGACCCGCCTGTTATTCCATCACACTCTTCAATCCGCCACTCTCTTGTCGCTCCCCACCCCTTATGAGATCGAGGTGACTTTTGAGTGACTTTTGAGTGACTTTTTGAGTGACTTTTGAGTCGACTCAAAAGTCACCTCGTTTCGAGTCGACTCAAAAGGCCCGCCTGTTATTCCTTACACTCTTCAATCTGCCACCCTCTTGTCTCTCCCCACCCCTTATGAAATCCGCGTGTAGTGAGGCTTTTTTGTAGGCTCTTCAAAAATAGCCCCACCTCACGCGGATCCCCTTACACCCTTCAAATCCGTCACTCTCATGTCTCTCGCCACCCTTTACCCCCCCACCTTCTGCCCGCTTGCTGTCCCGCCCTCCTGCCCTTCCTTCCCAGGCAATGATGGTGGTGTGTAATCACGGGATAGCAGAGACGACCAAAAAGGACAGTATCAATCGAGCGAGAGTGAGGGGAGAGGAGCCCCCAGAGGACGTTTTAGAGGAAGAGAGGGGGCTGCACTCAGCAGTGCTCTCCTTCCTTCGCACACTCGCCTGTTCCCTCATCTTACTGTGCCCCCCCACCTCCCCTTCCCCCTCCCCCTTCCTCCCAAACCCCCTCAGGCAATGATGGTGGCGTGCAATCATGGGATAGCAGAGACGACCAGAAGAGACATCATTGATGGAGCGAGAGTGAGAGGAGAGGAGCCACCAGAAGACGTTTTAGAGGAAGAGAGAGGCCTGCTGCACTCAGCAGTGGTGCCATTTCATCGTCTACCCCCTCCCTCCTTCCTCCACACCCTTTCCCTCCTCAGGCAATGATGGTGGTGTGCAATCACGAGATAGCAGAAACCACCAGAAGGGACATCATCGACCGGGCAAGGGTGAGAGGAGAGGAGCCACCAGAGGACGTCTTAGAAGAAGAGAGGGGCATGCACTCAGCAGTAGGGGCAGACGTGGCCGAAACTCTCGCTGTGGCGGGCAGCGAGGAACTTTCGCGCATGGAGGAGCGGATCGCCGGGCAGATGGAATCGGGCAGCGCAAAAGTTGTGGAGTACTGGGAGGCTGTGCTGAAAAAGCTGAAGGTTTTCAAGGCGAAGGCGAGACTGAGGGAGATTCATGCGGATTTGCTGCGGCAGCACTTGGCTCTGCTGGAAACGGGAGGGGTGGCGAGAGGGGAGGGAGGGGGAGATGAGGGAGAGGGAGGGGAGGGGACAGGGCGAGGGAGAGGAGGGGAGGGGCGGGGATGGGAGGAGGAAGAGGAGGAGGTGGGTGCTGGTGGTGGTGGTGGAGGAGGGGGAGGAGGAGAGGAGGGAGAGCCTGGGTCGTTTTCGCCTGAGTTGCTGACAATGGAAGAAGCAGCAAAGGAGGGGTATAAGGAGGGGGGAGAGGGAGCAGCGGGAGGAGGAGGAGAAGGGGGCGCGGAGGGAGGGTTTTCACCAGAGCTGATTCACACGTATGAGGTGGATGGGACGGACGTTGTTGACCCTGAGGCGGATAAGATTGAACTGGTGAGTGGCGGGTGAGTGGATGTTTATGCGGTGTGGTTGGAAAGGTGATGGGTGGGGGCAGGCAAGTGAGGTGGGGGAGAGCACTGAGGGGAGCTGGGAGGTGGCAGGTGGTGACACTGAAATTATGGATTCACACGTATGAGGTGGATGGGAGGGACGTGGTTGACCCTGAGGCGGATAAGAGGGAACTGGTGAGTGGCGGGTGGATGAGCTACAGAAGAAGGGTTAAACATGGGATGTGTGTCAAGGGAGGGAGGGAGGGTTTTCACCCGAGTTGATTCACACGTATGAGGTGGATGGGACTGACGTTGTTGACCCTGAGGCGAACAAGAAAGAACCGGTGAGTGGATGAGGATGCAGTGCAGTTGGAGAGGTGATGGGTGGGGTGCAGGTGAGGTGGGAGCGAGAGAGAGAGAGAGAGAGAGAGAGAGAGAGAGAGAGAGAGAGAGAGAGAGAGAGAGAGAGAGAGAGAGAGAGAGAGAGAGAGAGAGAGAGAGAGAGAGAGAGAGAGGGATGGGCCAATGGGGCAGAGGGTCTAAAGGGAACCACAAATCAAACCGTTTGCTTGTACCCCCGCTGAATTAATACAAAGGACCATTTGAGAGGGAGCACTGAGGGGAGTTGGGAGCTGGGAGGGTGTGAGTTGATCGATTCACATGTATGAGGTGGATGGGATGGGACAGACGTTGTTGATCCTGAGGCTGACAAGAAAGAACTGGTGAGTGGCATGTCAGTCACAGGTGGTTTTCAAAGGGTTATTAGGGGTTTAAAGGCATTAAACGTTCCATGGGCTGTCGCCTAAACTATTATGCTTGTGAAACTAATACACTTTACAAAAACATTACCCTCTTGTCTCTCATTCCCTCCCTCTTTGACCTCCTGCTCTCCCTCACCAGGAGCGCAAGAGGGCTCAAATTCAGGCAGACCGGCAGCGCAGCGTCTTGGAAGCTTCCGGTGCTGGTGGTGGTGACATCAGCGCAGCAGAGAGGGCTCTGGTGGTGAGGGCGCCTGCTGACGTGGCAGCAGCAGGAGAACGCCAGCTCAGCGCTGCGGAGAAGGCTGCAGCCAATAAGATGATGGGGCAGGATCCTGGTGACGTGGCGTTTGGTGCAGGGGCAGAGGTGCCTCTTGAAACTCAGGTGAGAATTCAGGTGAATATTTAGGTGCGCAATCAGGTGAGATGATACCTGGATCAGGCTTCAGGTTGGCCTTCAGGTGAAACCTCAAGTTGAATTCATGTTGAAGTGCTGGCATCTTTCACCAAGAGCAACCGCCCCTCTTCCTTGCTCCCTCCCCCCCGTTCCTGTTTGTTTCCCCCTCCCTTGTGGGTCACGTTGCGGTCATGTTTCCCCCTCCCTTGTGCATCAGGTGTACTGGTGGCATGACAAGTACCGGCCGCGCAAGCCCAAGTATTTTAACCGAGTGCACACAGGGTACGAGTGGAACAAGTACAACCAGACCCACTACGACCACGACAACCCGCCGCCCAAGATCGTGCAGGGATACAAGTTCAATATCTTCTATCCAGATTTGATTGACCGCTCCAAGCCGCCCAGCTATCATATTGACAAGGACGGCAGCGAAGACGGCGAGACTTGTCTCATTCGCTTCCATGCTGGACCACCCTATGAAGACATTGTGAGTGGCTCTATTTTTTCGTTACTTGCTTTTATGTTTCTTGTTATAAACTTTAAATTATAATCTTTTAAGCCATAATCCTCATTCTCTCCATCCAGCTGTATCCAATCTTTTGCAACTCCCACTTTTTACAATCTCACTCTTCCTCTCTCGCCTGGCAGGCGTTCCGCATAGTGAACAAGGAGTGGGAGTACTCGCACAAGAAGGGCTTTAAGTGCACGTTCGAGCGCGGCATTCTGCACGTCTACATCAACTTCAAGCGCCATCGCTACCGCCGATAGGCCCTGGCACACTGCCGAGAATCTTGGTTGTTACTTGTCCAGTTTGACTTGCCTCGTGCTCTATAACTGCCATTCTTTTACATACTGCTCCTTCACAACTGGCAATCGTCTCGAACATGCTGTGGGTGATTTTGCTTTCTTTCTTCCCTGCAGCTGTGGTGTGGCTGGTTGTGTGTTTGTGGGCTACCTGTTGTGGTGTTGTACAGTGATTCAGGCTCCAGAGGTACAGTAACAGTATACTCAGCACCCACTACAGCGGTTGCTAGTGGTTGAAGCCAGCCCTCTCACTCACAGTCAATGCAAGGCTTGTTGTCGCCCTTGTACTACGCTGCACCTGGCCTTAGTGTGAAGGTTTGATGTTGCTGCAAAGAATGATGTTTCTGAAATTATTGTAACTAATATCTGCAGAGTAACTTCGGAAAATTATTACGTGTACGATACCTACCTCTGTCTGTCAATGTCTCAGCATTTAATCCCCCATCATAAACAGCACACTTCCAAGAGGAAAGGAACAGTGCACTTGTGTACCTACACCTAAGATGTTCCTTTGATAAACGACTCCCGAAAACTCCCTAAAATAAACATCTCCCTGCTAACCTACCGGTACAATACCTCATCTTCTGGCCCTCTTTATATTCCCTCCCGACCCGCCTACCCTCCTGCTCTACTTCCCGCTTCTCCCACCCCCCTGTACCACATTCTTCTAGTCAACGCCTTACGGAAATCTGCAGCATCACCCTCACTCCTGTATTCATCTCCCGCCCGCCTTCCCTGCCTATCATGTCTGTGCACCTCACCGCGCGTCCACTGAATCCACTAAGCCTCTCCTCGCGCCTTCCGCCTCGCCTCCAGCACCTCTTCAGCAGAAGCGGCCATCCGCCAGTGAAAAGCCACCATCTCCTCCAGCTCGCTCGTATGCAGAGCCTCCAGTGCCGCATGCTTGCAGTGCCTTCTCGTACCACACCACTGCCCCATACACATGCACTACCCACCCCATGCATGTCCTACGCCTCTCCCCGTGCCTTCCGCCTCGCCTCCAGCACCTCTTCAGCAGAGGCTGCCATCCGTCGGTGGAACGCAACCATCTCATCCAGCTCTCTCGTATGCAGCGCCTCCAGTCCAGTGCCCCCCTGCCCCATATGTATGCATCACCACCCCGCTCTCACATTCACTACACCTCTCATGCACCAACTAAGCCTCTCCTCGCGCCTTCCGCCTCGCCTCCAGCACCTCTTCAGCAGAAGCAGCCATCCGCCTGTGGAAAGCCACCATCTCTTCTAGCTCACTCGTGTGCAGCGCCTCCAGTGCCGCCCGCGCCGCCGACCGCTGGTTTCGTCTCCGTTCAAGCTCCTCTTTGATGTGGGAGGCGTTGCGCACTGTAGCGCCCACCTGGGATAGCCTCTTCACCTGCTGTCCTGACAGGGGCGTGAGCTCCTGTAGTGGAGGGAGGAGGGAGAAGGGAGGAGGTAGGTGAGAGGAAGGAATATTGTACAAATACATAGGTGCTTCAAGTTGAAACGTGTAGTTTTTTCACTTCATCCAAGCCTCGCGTAGCATACCGTAGCACGAGCCTGTCCCCTAGAAGGAAAAGCCTCTCACCGTAGCACGAGCCTCTCACCTTGAGGAATGACGCCCTGATCGCCAGCTCCTGCTTCTCCTCCGGCAGCGTCGGCAGCACTCCAAACCCTCCCAGTCCACCCGCCGACCCGCCCGCCTGCTCTCTCCTGATAGCCGCAAGAGCCGACGTTCCGCCCTTCTCCGTGGCGTTGCGGCGCAGCACCACCCTCTCCTCGTACACCACCTTGGCCGCATGGTTGAATTGAAATCCTGTGGGCCCGATACCACTCACTGACGAACAAACCTTAAGGAAACACTGCTCTCACCTTGAGAAACGAGGCCCCGATCGCCAGCTCCTGCTTCTCCTCTGGCAGCGTCGGCAGCCCTCCCAACCCTCCGAACCCTCCTGCTGATCCCCCCGCCTGCTCTCTCCTGATCGCGGCAAGTGCAGACGTTCCGCCCTTCTCCGTGGCGTTACGGCGCAGCACCACCCTCTCCTCGTACACCACCTTGGCCGCATGAAAGCTCTTCTGAATGCGCAGCCGCCGCCGCTCCAGCTCCTCCTCCCACTCCCTGCCCTGCTGCTTCTTCTTCTGCCGCTGCTCTGCATCCGCTTCCGCCGCCGCCGCTGCTGCCGCTGCCGCTGCTGCTGCCGCCCCAGGGGTTTTCCTGCTGGCTGAACCCACCCCTGCCACTGCCCCTGCCCCTGCCCCTGCTGCCATGCTGCTTCCTCCTGTCGCTCCCGCCTCTCCTGCTCCTGAATGGGTTAGAGCTGCCATGCCAGTGGCTAGGCTGTCAGTCGCGTCGGCGGCAGCGTCGACTGCTGCAATGGCGGCTGCAGCAGCGGCAGCGATGCTGGTGGGAGGGGCTGTGAGGGCGGCTGGCCGGGGGATTCTCGGCCGCACCTTGCGTTCGTATGCCACCACTGCTGCCACAAACTCCTGAGTGACGGAGTGAGTGAGAGAGCGAGTGAGGAGTAATTGAGCGAGTGAGCAACGAAGTGAGCAATACTGTGAGAGCGACTGAGTGGGCGAGGGAGCTGGCATACCGTTGCAGCACACAAGACAGGCAGTTACAACCAGCGGGGTTAGATAGAACCAACGAACTGTGCTGGGAATTGGACGTAACGTTCCACTCGTCTGCTATGCCCTGGGGCACTCATCAACCCCCTCCAGATCCAGGGGCGAGCTGGGCCCTCCCCCAACCCCAGGAAAGAAAACTACGGCCCCCTCATTCGGTGGACCCCGAGGCCCAAAGGAAAGGCACCGCCAGCAGCAGCTGGGCATACAGTGGAACCAGCAGAATACTTAGCTCACCGCATCGCACCTGGTAGGCCCTGGGGCACTCGGGGTACTCAAAAGACCTCGCGTGGCGAGCTGGGGCCTCCCTCAAGGAAAGAAAACCAAAGCTGCTCTTGGCGACCCCCCAGGCCCAGAGGAAAGGCAGCACCAGCAGCAGAGCCTTCAGCCGAGCACGCAACAGGTACGCGCTGGGGCACTCGGGGTACTCAAACAAGATTCATACACCCAAGGCCCAAAAGAAAAGCAGCACCAGCCGAACCCACAGAGCGTTCAGCCGAGCACGCACCTGGTACGCTCTGGGGCGTTCGGGGTACTCAACCACCTCGCGGGGCGAGCTGGGGCCTCCCCCAGGTAGCACCTCCCCGTCCTGGAAGCGCCTCATGCGTTCAGGGTGGAACTGCAGCCCCACAAAGATGAGCCAAGGCAGCAAACTGATCACCGCAGCATTCAGTCTTCAGAACCGCATTCAACCCAGCACGCACCTGGTATGCTCTGGGGCACTCGGGGTACTCAAAGACCTCCCGCGGTGAGCTGGGCCCTCCCCCAGGCAGCACCTCCCCGTCCTGGAAGCGCCTCATGCGTTCAGGGTGGAACTGCAGCCCCACAAAGAAGCCCCCTCGCGGAGGACAGTGCACGTCCGGGTCGTAAAAGGCTTCTATCAGCCCGTCTGCTGCAAACGCCATGGGGCGGAACCGGGATGCCAGGACCCTCACGCCCTGAAGTCAGGGAGGGGAGGGGCACGGATCGTAAAAGGCCTCAATGAGCCCGTCTGCAGCGAATGCCATGGGGTGGAACCGGGAGGCCAGGACCCTCACGCCCTGGGGGGCGGCAGGGAGGGGGAGGGGAACAGGGAAGTGTTGAGACATGTCAAAGCATGGGCATGGGTTGAAACTGACAGCACACTATTTCTGAGGCGCCTCAGACTCAGAAACAGACTCCCCACAAAGAAGCCCCCTCGCGGAGGACAGTGCACGTCCGGGTCGTAAAAGGCCTCTATCAGCCCGTCTGCAGCGAACGCCATGGAGCGGAACCGAGATGCGAGCACCCGCACGCCCTGGTGTGGGGGATAGAGGGGAAGACAGGGGGTTGTCAAAGGCTGTGCGGGGATCGGGCAGTGGACGTCCGGATCGTAAAACGCCTTCATCAGCCCGTCCGCAGCAAATGCCATGGGGCGGAAACGAGATGCGAGCACCCGCGAGCCCTGAGGTGGGGGAGAAAGGGAAGGGAGAGAGTCGTCAAGTGCTGTGCAAGGAGGGCAGTGCACGTCCAGGTCGTGAAAGGCCTCTATCAGCCCGTCTGCAGTGAATGCCATGGGGCGGAACCGAGAGGCCAGGACTCTCACGCCCTGGTGTGAGCCAGGGAAGGGAAGAGGGGAAGTGGAAGGCAGACAGAGTGCTGTCAGCGTGCTGTCAAGTGCCACGTGCAGGGCGGCAGGCAGTGCGTGTACAGCCCCTATCAGCCCGTCCACAGCGAACACCACCTGGTGGTGGTAACAGCCTGAAATCTCACCTGGTGGTGGTAACAGCCTGAAATCTCACCTGGTGGCGGTAACAGCCTGAAATCTCACCTGGTGGTGGTAACAGCCTGAAATCTCACCTGGTGGTGGTAACAGCCTGAAATCTCACCTGGTGGTGGTAACAGCCTGAAATCTCACCCGGTGGTGGTAACAGCCTGAAATCTCACCCGGTGGTGGTAACAGCCTGAAATCTCACCCGGTGGTGGTAACAGCCTGAAATCTCACCTGGTGGTGGTAACAGCCTGAAATCTCACCTGGTGGTGGTAACAGCCTGAAATCTCACCTGGTGGTGGTAACAGCCTGAAATCTCACCTGGTGGTGGTAACAGCCTGAAATCTCACCTGGTGGTGGTAACAGCCTGAAATCTCACCTGGTGGCGGTAACAGCCTGAAATCTCACCTGGTGGTGGTAACAGCCTGAAATCTCACCGGGTGGTGGTAACAGCCTGAAATCTCACCCGGTGGTGGTAACAGCCTGAAATCTCACCCGGTGGTGGTAACAGCCTGAAATCTCACCCGGTGGTGGTAACAGCCTGAAATCTCACCCGGTGGTGGTAACAGCCTGAAATCTCACCTGGTGGTGGTAACAGCCTGAAATCTCACCTGGTGGTGGTAACAGCCTGAAAT